GTACAGTTCTAAGTGGAAAGCATCGAAATTTCGTTTTAAATTGAGAAATATTATACCATTTTACTTTCAATGTCCTTTAAATCATGATAACAATGACCGAATATTATAGCAGAATATTAAAAGAATATGCATGCAATATACGATTTTCACTGTTGAGCACTTCCGATTAAAATGGGAATCGCAGTTGCAGTGAAAGAGCAATTCTATTTATGGAAAATATTAATTAGAATAGGTTAAATAGCGGTCACCGAGATGGTCGATAGTAACTTGAGTTGATGACTGACTTGCTCCATTGCAAATATGACGCACTCTACCAGTTAATATCTGTATGAAATATAACAATGGACGAATTACATCTCGCCCGAAAAACAATCCCTACTCGACGTTGGAAGTATCATAATTGATTACACATGATGACTGATTCAATAGTTGGAGCTCCACGCGGTAAAAGACCTTTTTGTTACCCAATATTTCCGCCACGTAGCAGCATCACCTTTTCCACATGACTAACAGTAGCGTTTGCGCGCGTTTCTTGGAAACGTCGCTTACCCTTTTCGCCCGGCCAATTTTGGCGCGCTCATATTACCGTCTGTATTAAACGTGTGGTTGCGAAATGGGTAGCGGTCATCGCCCTTTAATGAACGTCAGACCCCCAATTGTTACCATCCCTCCTCGCTAATGAACAGTATTCAATAATTCACGGATATTTAACCTTTTCCTCGTATTCATCAAGCTTATTTCTGACTTCATGACTCCATAAAGACACTTTTTAAATTAAGAAATTATAGTGATCATCGAAAAATCTTTGTATCTATTATTCCGAAGTAGCTATTGATCACATTGATCTAGAGTTTGAAATGTCGATAATGCGAATGTTTACAGAGCAATATATATTATAGTTAGCGGTATCCATCAAAGTAACATGAACATATATCACGAGTGACTTTAAAAGGGATATTTAGCAATGATACTCGTCAATAAATAAGATTGTACTAGTGTGGGTGTATGTTCATGCGAATTATATATATATCATCCTGTTATTTATGACGTGATTTTTCAAAAATAATTTTACAGCGTTTTTATTATTATAAGTGTTTTCTCATTATTATTAATTTTTATAGATTTCAATAATGTTTACGTTTCCTTCTTTAAAGCACTGGAAATCTTAAAGCTGGTATTCTCTTCGAATAATTATGGCTAGAGGCCTAACTGCCATTAATCAGTAGAAGTTAAAGAGAAGCATGGCAACTCCAAGGGCATTTAACTAATGTATACGTTGATTGCTCGCGTATTTTTTATATTTTTAAAATTGAATCTGTATCAAGCAATGTAAAGGAAACTCAGACTGAGCGTAACAGAAAGAAGAAAAAAAATAACATTAACGATTAAATTGCATGTTGGAAGCCGGAAAGTTATTAGCTTAATCTCCGGCTCGTGGCTGAAGAAATAAATGTCATGATGAGGCATAAATCATTACAAAACCACTTCATATTACACATTACAGTATTAATATGTCGATGGGATAGAAAACATATCAGAATGAGTTTCATATCTTGATAACTTCATCCGTCTGCAGTTAATCTTGCCAGTTTATATTACCGAATAAGATCTATGCGTTCATACACACTAAACTGATTATGCCCTCTGCACACACGGCGTCATTAATTGCGTTATTACCAGCGCTAATTTAATTAGTGCATACGCCAATAAATGCAGTGCTTTAGGAGTATAAGCTTAGAGGTGGCGTCATTTGCCTGACGCGCCATGTTAGAGTGACATTGTTCTAAAGTGATTGCAAAATGAAACGATCGAGTTCAGACACTGCGTTGATTTACTAGCGTAAGCGCTAATTATCTTCACAGGTTTCCATTAGCGTAGTTAATAACGCAATCGAAATGACTACTCGCGAGCAAAGGGCATTATAGACATTGATTTCTTGTTTTGTTATGCAAAGTGCTTCCCGTTATGAATATCAGTGGCGGATCCAGGGGGGGGGGCCCGGGGGGCCCGGCCCCCCCCTTGAGAAAAAAAATCATGCAAAATCACGCGATTTTTTCCTTTTTTGGGGGTGCAAATTTTAAAATTTTCGAGGACCAAAAAAAAAATTGTGCTCACTACCCCCCCCCCCCCCCCCCCCCCCCCCCCCCACTGAGCGACTTTTCGCCCGGCGCGATTTTCAAATTTTCGGGAGCAAAAAAACAAAAAAATTGGGCCCCCTCCCCTAAGAAATCCTAGATCCGCGCCTGATGAATATACCGATGTTTGCCAGTTTATTTGCCAGTTAATGTCACAAAAGTGATGTGTTTCCAAGTCAACAAAGCGAACGTGTGCCTCTTTATTGCTATACTGTCGGTAATACCAGGGAGGTGAGACTATATACAGGGGGCCGCCGATAACTGACGCCCTTGCCATCAACGTGATCAGAGCCACCCTCCGGTCACTGACCCGTTGTTTTGTGTACATTAATCATTGCATTCAGTGGCGCAGTATACTACAATGCAGCGCGAGTTTCATTAGTCTACGATTGATGTGTTGCATGCGTGGAGAATGAAAGCTAAAGTGGCCCAGAAGGGACATCGGGAATCATGAACTTTGTTGTGAAATTCGCAATAAGTCGCATATTTTGTCGCGCAAATGCTAAGCCGTGGCTTTGATGTGATGTTTCCTATATATTTTGGCAAAAATCCTCAATATTACATGAGCACTATATCAACTAATTGGAGAAAATCAATGATTATTGCGTTAATATTTGTTGTTATCCCCTCGCCGACGAAGTCGGAGGGGATATAGTAAAGCCGCCGTCCGTCCTTCCGTGTGTGCGTCCGTAATAAATTTGGTTTCCGATCGATAACTTCAGTAATGTTGGACGGATTTTAATGAAATTTGATATGAAGGTACATGATATCAAAATACAGGCTAAGTTCGATTTTGGAGTACATAGCTCAAAGGTCATAGCTCATTAAATAGGCGAAAAAATACACATCTGGTTTCCGATCGATAACTTCAGTAATGTTTGATGGATTTTAATGATATTTGATATGAAGGTACGTGATATCAAAATACAGGCTAAGCTCGATTTTGGAGTACGTAGGTCAAAGGTCATAGCTCACTGAAAAAATACACATCTGGTTTCCGATCGATAACTTTAGTAATGTTTGACGGATTTTAATGACATTATATATGAAGGTTCATGGTATCAAAACACAACCTAAGTTTGATTTCGCAGTATTTAGGTCATAGCTCATTAAATATGCGAATCTGGTTGAGTAATGTTTGACAAATTTTAATGAAATTTGATATGAAGGTACATGAAATCAAAACACAGCCTAAGTTCAATTTACGAGTATGTAGGTCAAAGGTCATAGCTCATTAAATATGTGAATCTGGTTTCCGATCCATAACTTGAGTATTGTTAGTCGGATTTTAATGAAATTTGATATGAAGGTCATTAAATATGCAAAACCACCGAATCATATATGTGAAAATGTGGTTAACTTCCTTGCCTAGTAATATATAGTATAGTCCAATGTTCTGATGTATATAGGCCATTTGTACCCTGCGAGGGGATGCTACGCTTTGCGTTGACTTGTTGTTTTTGTGTTGCTTTTTGCGTGCTTTTTGGGGGTTTATTATCACATTTATCTTATCAATTGATGATGAGGAAGCACGGAATACTTTACAAAGGATGTAAACATTTAAAAACTATTATTGATATTAGAATAAAAATGAAGTAAAATTAAATAAAAACCATTTTGATAACTCCCACAGGGACATTTGTGTCGAATTTATCTAGTTCCTCTAATACACAACTGCTTATGGACATACATGTATATATATGTATCTATATAAGCATATATATATATATATATATATACTACTACATTTACTAAGAAAAAGTTGTCTGTCAATATGTTACCTTTTTTAAAGGTATTCACATACATTTTTCTTCCAATTCACAATTACGTGCTATCTTTGGCATGGCGTGGATCGATTTCCATTCTGGCAGTGAATTACACTTTTTTTTTATTGTATTAATAATGACGTCACCTATTGAATGATGACGTCGTTCTCTTGAAGGTAGAAGGCTGTTGCTATGGCAGCTAGATGTTATCACTGTTTTGGATGAATAGAGCAAGTGCGCGTTCCACGTATAGAGTGTTTTTATATCGAATTTAACACACCATTTTAATACAGAATGATATCTTGCAGATCTTAAAAGATGAAGTAGAACATAAAAATCAGGACGTAGACAAATGAAAAGTTTAAAAATATAACTTAACGATGATATGATGTAACGAAAAGAGTAAGGAAAAACAAATATTTAAAAATTGTATACGATATCTTCTAAAAAAAATACGTTTAAAACGTAAACACTGTGTGAACATTTAATTTGGGTTACTAAAGTTACAGGAGAGAAAGAAAAAATATATATATTACTGATTCAACCGAATTTTTTTTCTTCTTTTAAACTAGTGTTACTCCATCCATAGCGGTAAAATAATGTTGTATTACGTGTATCTCCGAAACATACCATTTCTCTTTCAAGTACTGATTGTATTTGTGATTCTCTTTGTTTAAGACAATATTAGCCATGTGACCCAAATAATATACACATCTTCTTTACCTTTTAATGTACTTTATAAGGAGAAAAAATTATACAAACGTTCATGATATTAGTTTGTTAAGCAGCAACTAAAATTTAAAAATATTGATGAACCGATTTCGTTTAAGAATGTTTTAAGAAGCATGTGATATATTATGGGCAAGTTGACACTACTTTATCCCATACGTTATCAACCAAATCTACAATTAATGTCTGATAATTATATTGAGTTGATATTTTCCATGGAGTTTGGATCACATACAAAATTAAGCAACAGCACTTTTGATGTCAATTATCTATTTTAACAATGCCATTATATTTCGCAATCTATGGGACACCAAATGCCCAAATACTTTAGCTTTGCCCATTTACTGCGATCAATTAATATTTTTGTAGTCTTGGTTACCACTGTATGATTTTATCTATTTTATCTATTTTTATCTATCCTTTCTTTCTTGTAGTACCCAAATTACGTAAGAGAAGAAGAATTGAAGACGCCGAGTCTGCCACGCCATTGGCTATCGGATACTGGGGCAAACCACCAACACTAGAGGGCGCCAAATTCGATTTCCTCTGCATCCATGCGACTCTACGGTCGCTCAAACCAGATGGACCCACGTTCAAAGAGGGTGAGTGATTTGGCGGCAAAATTTAATAGGTGATGTTACACTGATTACTTTTCTTCTCAATGATATGATGCTTCTGCCTCTTAAAACAAAAGATCATGGATTCGAATATGATATTAGCAAACGACTAAGTTTGTAGTTACGAACTTGTTAATTCAATTAATACTCATTATTTCTAAGTATCATTTGAGGGGTACACAATTGTACAATCATTGCTTTTAGTGTATTCCTAAATTGTTGTACATGCTTATAATTGATTTGTTGGAAACATAAATGAATTTAAATTGAAATGTAAAAGTATAAAAGTGCCCATTTCTTGTTTCAAGGCACAGCCTCTGAAATATATATCCTCAAAAGGAAAAATAACAGCCTACACGGTTTAATTCTGTTGAAAAGGGCTTATTGTTTTATATGTTTTTTATTTACTTTTAAAAATCTAGTATCGACTAGTGTATCCATGAAAAAATTAGATAGGCCTGTGAAAAGATTTCTTTTCCAGAAAAAATGGAATATATAACATAAAAGTAATTACATTTTATAAATTACTATAAGCTATTTATTTTGTCATGTTTCATTCATATATTTATCCGCATGAATTGTGTTCTTATACACACTCTTCCATTTAGTTTTTATGGTGGATTCTGGGAGTGACGTAGTGACAGCGCGTCAAGAGATCTTGAACCGGTTAGATCTGGAACTGATCGGTACAATCCAGAGCAGAGGAGTACATACAACCGTCGAGAAACAACTCTATAAAGCCATGCTAGTCATAGGCAATCATGAGGTTGAGATCGAGGTAATAAAAACAAGTTTAAACTATTAATTGCCCACTCACATTTTGTCTGCCGATAAAGTGCCTCTTTTCAAACAATTTCCAATGAATACATCATATAAATACACAACAAATGTTTTTCTTTTTTATTAGAAAATCATAATAACGAGAATGTTAAATTTTTTACATTCCTCATAAGATAAATTTACATACAAGGTTGATATATCAAGCATTTTGATGATATTTCTCAAAAAAATTGAACAGATAGGTAGGTATTCAGTAACATCTGTATTCATGTGGGAGTGTGTGATTTTGATTTTTGTTTTATCTTCAGATGTGTGCCTATCACTCACCATCGGGAAAACTTCACTTAACTTTTCGGTTTGTAGGCGAAGACAGAGCAGCTGACGATACCTCTAAACCAACTCGCATCTTTTTAATACAGATACTCTTTTTAATACTAATACTCTTTTCTATCGTATGATACTCTTTTTAATCTAATACATTTTTTTCTATCATCCCATATTTTCATTTTGTAGATTATGGCGGAACCATACGAGTCCATTGGAAACCGAGTCATGAGGCACTTTCGTCACGTGATTGACAGCACGGTACACTATTGGCTGCCCGAAAGCAGAGTAGAGCCTTCGGAAGGCATGACTGTGAGCAGCCGAAGTGACCCGAACACCAGCGGCGAGACTTCGGGCACACCCGAATCGGACGAAGAAAAAGCCGAAGAAGAAGAAGAGGAAGAGGACGAGAATGAAGAGGACGAGGAAGAGGAGAATGATGGCGTAGCCTCCGTCGGTGATGGCGCAGAGGAAGGAGAAGGTGACGGCGGCGAGGAGGTGGAGGAGGAGGAAGAGGAGGAGGTGGAAAACGGTGCTCAAGGGGTTGTCGAAAATCAGGAAGACCCATAAGGGGTCAGAAAAGGCCAAAATATTGACGGGTATCGACTTGGATTAGTCAGCTATGTAGTCAAGATGAAGGGTGCCAAAAGTTGTTCATTTCATACAATTCACTTAAAATTTAACAACTGAATAAGGAAAGTAAGATTATAAGATATTTTCCCTATCAAACAATCAATTATAATAGTTCTGGAAGGGTGCTGCCCTGGGTGTAGGGTTTAAGAACGTGGCTTTGTTCGGCGTCTTATATAAAAATGGCAGATGATTCTCAAAGATTTTAATGTTGGGAACGCCGATAATTGAAATCGATGCGATTAGGATGGTCCCGTCCTTTTAAGAATGGTATTTTACGGATTATAGAGATTAGAAATGCACTAAAAGGCACTTGGTAGTATTAAGCTTTAGTTCTAATAAAATTAGGTTCAGCCGATAGGGCGTAACTCAGAAGAAGCAACACATGCCAAGTAAAAGCGATTACTTTGGGACCACAATCATTACCCAACCACTCGGAATAACAGTAACAGTTATTTATAAGATTCACTGGCAAATCCAAAAGTGATGGAATATTTATGCGGCTTCGAAAGTAAAGGGAGCAACAAGTGAATAGATTTTTTAAAGGTAATGTAGATTTTTACGAATTAATATGGAAATACCAGACAGTCACGGTCGTGAATTCTGAGAAACCCGATTTCCAGATCATGATGGAAACTATGTCTTGGTTGGAAACTTGGTTGGAGATGATGTTGATGTGCTGTAGGGCTTCGATACATGGGTTCCCCTGTACGAGCCTTCTATGGTTCTGTTAATGTCCATATCGACGTTTAATCTGCAGAATATAAAAACTGAAATATTGATAAATCGCTTTTTGAGCTGGAAACCAGTAAATACAGAAGGTGTTGATTTATTGCGACGCTTGCTCCCCTTGCCAAAATACAACTGAAATTGGTTGATCTTTGTCATATTTTTAACCTCCTCCCTAAATAAAGGGACCTACTCTATGAGGGTAACTTTTATTTCAAGTATGTTTACTCTTGTAGGAAATGATTGGGTATAAAGATATTTATAGAACAGATGGTTGACGTTACTTTCTCTCACTTACTCTCTTCCCTTATAGATTACTCCACGCACGAAAACAATATTACGATGATGTCACAAAATCAATTCGCCCCTGCAAGGGTGTCGATCCTTGGAGGGAGCGAGAGAGGGCAGGGGGCAGTAATTAGAAATAATAATTTCGGCTTAACTTGTATATTCTATGCTGCTAATACTTCCTACGTATGCGTTCGCTCCCCTCCCCTATCATGACAATGGATCAACGCCACTGTCAAAGTGACAATATAGCCCCATATTATGGGTATGGTTTTTTCCAGCCATATTACGAATAAGCATTTATCACAAATTATTTTCAAACTGAAATCTTTCAGGGATTTGTAACGATATTAGCTAAGCTTTGCTGATGACGGGTTTCACACGATGAGGTGGTGCGCTGTTAGTAGGGTCGTCGATTTCGGGGTGTGGGAGGAAGGAGGGATGGGTCGTTGCCTCCAATAATTCAAGAATCATCTGCGTATTATAGGAATCGTACTATCCGATTAATCCTCCGCTAAATGCTGAAGATGGATCAATGCATTTACTCACACATGGATGATAATCATTCCACAGTCACACCACCACACCGACTTCAAACCGATTTATTTTGGGCCATTCCAGGAAATATACTAAAGAAATTCACCAATCAACTGTCTGTTATCAGTCTCGTCGATGTGAACGGGTATCAGGCTGTGACGTAGAGAAAATCCAAGGTGCTGCAATCAAATCCCTCCAAACTCTAACGCCGTATTCTATACTCAAACTTTAATCCGACGCTCGGCGTAAGTTTCTGTTCGAAATCGGGTCAAGCAAAGAAAGTTAGTCTGAGGTCACCGAATCAGTCTCCAACTTTCCCGCCAAAATAATTATGTTAAATCCTGACGTCACAGCTTGGGAAACTAAATCAAGGTACACATTGATAAGGCAAGATACAAACGAGGTCTTCTAGCGAACTGTATTCGATTTTTGAAAGTATGATATCAACTACAATAAATATGATGTTGTATATTCTATACGTAGAACATTGATCAGTATTGCAACAGTGAGTGAGGTATAATGCACCGTTTCGCTTGTATATCGGTATATGATGAAATGTCAGTCAAATTGGTGAAAGTGGTTTTATTTCCTTTATTTTTTATCAGAATTTATTCTGTAAAATCGATGCGTGACAGTGTCTTTGGTGTCGAATTGGATTGTAACCAGTGCACTGTTCAAGAAACGGATACATATCAAACTGTTTTGAATTAACTAACAATGGATGCTATACGCACACGATTTGATGTTAAGCCGAACGCAAAGGATGCCAAAAGCTGGCATTCTGGAAATTGTATTTCCCGCATATTTCGGCGGTTCATGATTGGTTCATGATTGTGTGAACAATTTGAATTTAAGAGCTGGTTGGTAATATATGGTGTCTTCTGGAATATCGTGGATATATATATATATATATATATATATATTTGAAAAACATCACCAATCATCATTATGCTCATTTCAAAGTTGAAAATGAGAATTCTCTGTCTGAAATTTGTTCTCTGTTTGATATATCATATCAATGAATTCGTAATATTGTTGCGTCTATCACGTTAATCTACCTGACGGAGTATTTGTGTCACTGTTCATCATTTTGATACAGCTGGTTCCCTCTTATCACTTTAGAATGTAGTATGTAAAATTCAAGCCTAATCTATTTTACAAGCCAAAGAAACTGTGGGGTCATTTTACAAGGAGCCTTATATAATTTTTTGAAAACTGTATGTTATTTAATGTTAGCACTACAAGTGGACTGTTGCATAATACTCTCGCGTCTCTTTCGCTGATGCTGTACATTTTGCAGTGAGCTTGTTTGATATCAAATTGTATTTAGAAATTGTGAAGTGTTCACTGTCTCGGTGTAAAATACAACTTTCAAATTCCATAATGTCAAAATTGACAATAGCCTTTTCTTTTAAACACACAAATTGTCTGGTCTTGAAATATGCATGTGTATTGTATAAACCAATGCATTATTAATGATCAAAATATTATCAGTGATTTTTCGTACTCTTACAGAGCATACGTTATGAGGAAAAAACGCGAACATATTATAAAATGATGCAAAACATATCACTCGTCACCCGTTTTGAAACTACCTTCACCAATTAGATAACACAATTTCAATTGCCAGTTATGACCAATAAAGGTGAACAATATGAACTTTAAAGAGTACAATTCGATTAAAATCATTTAATTGCAAGTGATTCCACTAAACGACTCTCTTTAGTTTTAACGATGTAAAAGTTGCGCCTTTTGTCACCAAACTATAAGAGCTTATAAAACCATACCAGCTGTAGTTCATGTATTAGTGGTGCCGTTTTTGGATCTAAATTTGTAATGTCACTCTTCATACCATACACTGTCTATACCATTGCCACGTTTTGATGTGAATAGCCAGTCTTAAATGTGTCTATGTGGTTGTGTGTATCATACAAGAATTAATATATTCCACAGATGTGCTAATATATGAATCTATTCTATTCATGGCATTTTGTATTTTGATGTTTCAACATTCTCCAATCTTTGAATACCTACAAGAGGAATATATTTATCCAACTGTTTATTACTTGGGTGTACATAAGTCATTGCCTCTTTGATGTGGTGTATTCTGTATGGGCGTCAGTTTTTCAAGAATGATTGTAGAGAAATACATGTCACAAAGTACACACAGCATGCTGCTTTCTTTAAATCTGCATATTCATATCTGCATATACATATCTTTATCTGTAATGTTATATTAGTGGAGGCTGGTTGTAAAACTGTACAGGGGTTCGAATGCCGACAAATAGCTTTCCGTAAGATCTGCAGCCGCTATTATATGTAACCCGTTATTTTACATTTGCTGTTGAGGTTTAACTCATAATTTTAACTTGTGAAATGCTTTTCTTGGATCAAATGTTGGTGCTTAGAACAGACATTTTGAAATTTTTCGTCTTTTAGCATTCCATCGCGTTTCGATCCCAACTAGACTTAGTTTTCCTTTCTATACGTCTTTTTAGCATTTATAAAAAAGCGCTGATACATTTTAATATAACATGTACTCGGATTTTATCTTTCATTTGCTTGTTGTTTTTCTTTCGGGAATGGTTGTCTATCAAATATGCGGATGCGCTTTCTTTTAATCTGTACAGGGGCTCAAATGCCGACAAATCTATTTATTTTTATGAATACCATGCATGGGATCTCGAGAAAGACGTGTTGATGTGTATTAGAAAGAGAGACAAAAAAACTCACTCGGAACTCAGGACGATTGTTTACTACTTCACTGACTCAAAAAAAAGCGATGCAAATTGAATGTTTTCTGGATGTTTGTACTACAAGAGAATGCCTTGGAACTGAAATGAAACACACTTAGGTATTAGTATTATCATTGTTTTTTTTAATTGAAATACACAGATGTTTTTGAAATATAGATATCATGAAACTGTTGAATGACTAGGTGGGACTACAATGAGGAGAGTGGATGCTTTTTGTAGTGTATCATTTTTTTAGGAAGCTTTTGTAATTATACACTATTAATACCATGCTTTTCGTTCAATCACGTGTTATGATGCCTGTATATATATAGACGGGATTCGTTGTCATGGAAATGATTTTTAAGAATCATTTGTATTTTGTAAGATTGTTGTTGGTGATGGAATCTGGCCACAATTTGTGTTTGATTGTGATGTCAAGGAATCGATGACTGGTGGAATATATTTTCACACTGTTAAAAAAAAATTCCCATGCACATAATCATCATAACAATCATTATTAGTGTAATTGTTACCATCGAAGAATTGTCTTTTTGCTCGATCGTCCCTTTTAATTAATGCTTGCACTTAACTCCACCTTTTACTCGACGAATATGGACACAAAAATTGCACGCTAAAAGTTAATTATTCGTCCCTTATAGTCACTGCTTCTAATGTATAGTTTTAATGTGAAACCGTCGTAATATTAAAGTAGTATTTTGACGCAAGACAGGAGTTTTTAATCAAAGATCACATAGTATCTATTAAATGAGGATTAACTATTGTATGAAATTAGACAGATGGGTTTAAAATCGTAGTTTAAATTGTAATAATAATAATAATAATAATATTTAGCTTTTATATAGCGCTTAATACAAATGTCTCTAAGCGCTTTACAAATTGTAGTGCAAATTACCATTTCAGAATGAACAATACTTTCTTTTTGACAATCATATTTCTATATTTGAAAGAATAGGATATGTTATGGTCAAAGATGTAACAGAAGGAGAATACATGAAGATGAAGAACTTTAACTGTATACAAGCAAAAGATCCAACTCTTAATCCACATTGGTTAAGCATACCGATATAAAGATTTTATATAACTTCTCTTTCAGAAGAAGAAAAAAAATCGATTACATTTCTGTATTTATGAGTTGAGTAGTTGCTTTCTTTCTCTCTCTCTCTCTCTCTCTCTCTGAATTATTTAAACGATTCTCTGTATATTAATTCACCAGACACAATGACCATGCACGGTAACAAAAATTGTATTCTTTATAATATTATTAAGAAGCTGGATTTTGGTGTCTTGTTATGGTTGAAGTTCTTCATTTATCACCAGTGGCGTAGCATGGGTTCATTCCTTAAGTGGGCACTTGGGGCACCAATCTGAAAATGATTTTTCCCCCTTTTTTTCTTTCTTTTTCCCCTCTTTTTTTCTTCTTCAAGGCTACTGGGGGGGGGGGTTGCGGGAGGTGATCCGGGTGTCTTCTTTTCTCGCCCTCTCCCTCTCTTTATCTTTTTTTCACCACCACTCGATTGGGGGGCACGTGCCCCTGGTGCCCCCCCCCCTTTGGCTACGCCACTGCTTATGACCTACTTATACGGCCGTGTGCGGATGGCAACAATGTGTGTGAAAATGCTGAGTACTGGATTATTTAAATGAAAGTGTGTGTGCATCGTATCAGTCCTGTCAAACAGTATTGTGCGATATCCAAAGAATTTATGTAGAATGGAACAAGATCTAAGACTAAAAAGTAGAGGAAAATTTGAAGAAATATATATGTATAGTGTAAGACTATGTGATTGAACAAGAGATGTGTCATGCATCAGATCTAAGACTTAAAAGTAGAGGAACGTTTGAAGAAATACATATTGTAAGAATATGTAAGATGTGTTAAATTAGTATTTTGTAAGATCCATGCTTTTATCACTTTTAGTAACGACCGTCACATGTTATGTTCCAAAACAATTCATTGAATTGCTGGTATCACGGATAAATCTCAAACAAGAACAGGCTTGGGCTTACGGGTACATTTTCGCGAGGGGAGCTGATACCCCTTGCCCGAGTATCAACACTTTCGTTTCCAAATTGTCTGCATGCGAACGAATTTTTCGACACTATTTGCAGTGAATATTACAAAAAAATCACATCCGGGCACCTCGTGTCGTCAAAGCTATTAGGGAATCTCACTGCGCAAATATGAGGTAACGGTTGCCCGAGTATTGGAACTTTAAAAAATCGCGATGGGGGGTGGGGGGGGGGGGGTGGCTACTCTCTCCCCAAGTCCCCTCCTTATCTTGCCCCGTACGCTTACGAAAACAAACGACTATCAATTATTGTTGGGCTCTCTTCGGATTAAATGAGAGCTTGAAAATTACAGATCATTTTACAAAGTTCTTGAATTAATTGGTATGACCAAATTCGACAGGCTTACGTAGAATAATATTCTTTAAACGTTCAAAAAGTACTTGTCATTCAGTCAAATTAAGCTTAAACTGCATTTCAATAAACTGACCAAATAGGCTACGTTTAGTGACATCAAATCCGTGAATTACATGTACTGGTCTAGATAAAGTAACGAGCTGATTGTTTGATGGGTAAGTCATGAAGGGAATTATAAAAGCAGTGTGACGATGTTTAATGTTGACGTAAAAACAAGCTTTCTCGATATTCTTTTGAAATACAAATTTAATAGCCTTGATGTAGATTGTCACAATATTATGTAATAACTATTGATGGATTGTATATTGTATTAGATTTTTTTTAAACGTGTTAATTCCGACAATAATGTGCTGTTGTTTTTTTCTTTTCGAATTGCAATTTAATGTAAAGCAGAATAAAAAGGGTCTTCATTGAACAACTACAATTGATTTTAGTGCACGCTGCTGGAGCTCTTACTGCTGCAAGTGAAAGTTTACTAAAATGCAAATTACAATCATCTTCCATAGAGAAATGCGAAATGAAGTAAATGCCCACCATTCATTGTATAGACTCTTGTATATTATGTTCAATATCGTGTTTATAGTTTTGTGGCCATTGCTGTAATAATATGTCAAACTAGCTGCAGTGTGTTAAAACTACTCCATGTACTTGATGTAAGCTGAGTGTAACGCGATAATAGTCATCTTCAGGGTGTTGATTCGGGGCACTTTCTATCAATTATTTCGGAATTGGTCGTATATTCCGGTTATGGAGCATACTTCTTTCCTATTGTTGTATTTACCACCTCCCCCCCCCCCATCTTAAAGATTGGGGGGGGGGGGGCGTCCCATGCACAGTCATGAAACAAAGAACAACAATTAGCCATGTGAAATTCATCATCGGCCTATTCTGTAAATCGGTGCCGTTACAATGATGTTTACGGCATGCATTTCATACTCATGCAGTAACGACTATACTAATACCCCCTTTATGATTATTCACACATGGACAACTGTCCTTAAATGATGATGCCCACTAGACAATTACCATCAAGGATATATAATTACCAGGACGACTACCCGTGGACAATTATCCCCTTGGACATCTCATTAGGGAAAATCATTACCCCGGAAAATTACCCCCTTGGGATATCTACTCGATCAAAAAAAATAACCGCCATTCTAGACAATCATTTCCTATAGGGTAATTGTCCGTATATTAATTGAGAGAGTAGTTGTTGTCCGGAGATTTATTACCTTTGATGTGTAATTCTCCGGGTAGTTATTGTCTACATTTGTGTGTAGTCACGCTACACGGATGACTGTCCAAGGGGGTAGTTGTCCGGTCCAGTCGGCAATCTTTCATGGTAATTATACAGATGATACATTACTTGTCCAGGAGGTATATGGTTCCTCGGAACCAGTTTCTTCAGAACCTCTGGTAAAATAATATTTCAGCAAAATAATGAAACTGGAAACGTTACATAATTATTGTTCAGTATAATAAGACCTAATTTCCAAGGAAAATAATTATTGGTTGTTTTTTAGTGTGGTTAAAGTCGTAGATGATGGTAAAATTTTATGTTATGTGTGTGAAGCAGATTTGCGACGTAAACTGCGCAAGCCTTAAAAAAATGAAAGTATGATATTGATGTAATTTGTGTTGTTTGTTTTTCAAGTATAGTAGAAGATTGAAAACGAAAATAAGTTTCAATAAAGTGCTCCATAAAAGCAAATAATTGATATGTCTGATGCAGTGGTTGTTTTATGGAAATTACGATGACGTCATAAAATTATCTGTGCATGCTGGCATACATGTATGTGTTAAATTTGTTAGAGAGAGGAGGTGGATATAAAATGGACAGGAAGAGGGTGAGAGAGAGAGATGGAGAGAGAGAGAGAGAGAGAGAGGTAGAGAGAGAGAGGGGGGGTAGAGAGAGAGAGAGAGAGAGGGCGATGGAGAGAGAGAGAGAGGGGGGATGGAGAGAGAGAGAGAGGGGCAAAAGTCTGATTCATCTTTCAGGAGCATGTATATAGTGTCTTGAATTAAAATGGGAAAGTTTTGGCATAAAGAATACCCCATAGATAACTTCTTTAAGACAATTATGCTTTAACTTTTAACGAGACCCCTGTTCTAAAATGTCATGCCCAAATTTTCTACCATCATGATGCAAGTACATACGTAGACAAGATTAGAGAAAGATTGACATAGATAGAAAGGGAGACAGACAGAGAGACGGACAAACAGACAAAAGAGAGATAGCGGGAGAGGTGGAGGGGTGGTCGGGGCGTTTTATGAACAGTCGAATCGGCAATGTCGGAAAGGAAATCATGAATAAATTGGTCCATTAGTAACTACGAAAAAGTCGTTTTAAAATATCATTACAAATTAATGAGCACAAAGTTCGATTAATTGCTTTTACGATGGAAAGTTGATATCTCAATTTGTTAAAGCTGAATATCACTACCTTGTATTTCAAAACAAATATGAAAAAAGACCTTCAATATGACTTAATGAGATAACATTCTATGAAGTTCAAAAGGAAATGGGGTTTAAAGAATGATAAGTTGAAATATGCCTAGGGGGAAATGTTTTAGTGTAGAAAGGCACACCTGTTGTAGAGAAATGACATTTGATGGCTCTGAAAACGAGCATGATTATTTTTCTTAAAAAGGGCACAGTTCGTTCTCATGAAATTTGGGGCAGTGTTTCCCCTGCTCATACCCATACACAAAAAGGATGGGTGATGTTTCATGAAAGTGTTTTGGGTATACGTTTTGGATAAAGATGTAGGTTTAAGGGGTTACTAATCATCGTTTTTTCCAAAGCGGCGTATTTTCTCGTTAAAAGGATTGTAAGGGTACGTGAGAGTGACGGTACGAGACAGCGGCCCCTGGTGAGAAAATTGGTCCATTTTCGTCAAAGGACACATCAAAGGTCTGATGCAAAGGAAAGAAAAGGAAAAGAACGTCATGAAGGTAGTGGTATAAAATTGAAAATGTTTCTTCCTTAGACGAAATGTATCGAAGGCTATATCTATAAACACAAACATAGGTGCGGGTTGCTGAGGCTGCCCCCCCCCTAAGATTTTTAAATTACCAGTATTCAAGCAACTGTCAACTCTTATTCGGAGGGTGAGGTGGTATATTTGTATTTTTATAACTCATCCAGTACAGAAAGTGTCCATTAGTTTGAAGTATCAATTTGTCAAGGAGGAGAAGGAGAACATGGAGAAGGAGAAGAAGAGGAAGACGAAGAAGAAGAGGAAGAAGAAGAAGAAAGAAAGAACAAGAAGAAGGAGAAGAAGATAAGAAGAAGAAGAAGAAGAAGAAGAAGAAGAAGAAGAAGAAGAAAAACGAGTAAAAAAGAAGAAGAGGTAGGAGGAGGAGCAGCAGAAGCAGAGAGCAAAATAAGAAGATGAATATGAAAAAGAAGAAAAAGGATAAAAGAAGAAGAAAAGAGAGTAAAACTCACCTATAACTGGCCTTCATCGTGGTCATCATTCTAAGATTGGGCTCATTCAGATTCTCCATGGGGATTCGAAGCGGGGACCTGGGACGATAGCCCGCATACCCAGGACACTGGCGGACACTACAAGTAAGCAGATTTGAGAGCGAGAGACATAGTTTTAGAGAAATTCAGGGGGATAAATAGGAGGAGTAAAAAATTAACAAAAGGAAACCATGGCAGGAGTGGGGAGGGGAGACGAAAAGATGAGGAAAAGGATGGGTTCAGAATAATGTTGTTGTTGTTGTTGTTTTTATATCCGAAATCAGATACAAATATTATACATAGTAAAATATACAAAATGAAATACAAAAATCGGTGGAAAGCCCAACGATAAAGAATAATGATGGTAAAAGAAAAAGATTACCAAAAAAATGACAGGAAGTTAACTTTTAAAAGAGGACACAAACTGTGAAAGGAAAAAGCGGAGGATAGGATTTTAAAAAGTAATTATCATCTAATCACATCGTCCAATCTTGTACACAATTCATTTCCATACTTACTAGGTTGAGATGAGCCTTTCACGTTTGATGAGATCGGTAATCTTTTCGTCCACGGAAAATGTAACACCCTCTTTCACTTTTGACCTGTTAATGGAAAAAGGAAAATAAAAAATATTACAGATTATACAACTATTCTGTTTTAATAATTACCTCTGTACCGACATTCAACCAGACAAGTTCAACTAAAGTAACATATTTTTCGAGGAAAAGTACCCCCGAACAATTTAACGGGAAAAAAGTTCTCTATGATGTCATAACGTGTGAGAAATAGGACTTCTGTTCTGGTTGTACATGGAAATATCAGTATTGATTCTACTTTTTTTTAGAAAAAAACAAATCTGCCCTGTATACGGGGGTTGTTGCTACCTTGTTTGGCGTTCAACAATAAGGGATAGAGCAACGTCGATCTGGCGCTGCTCAGTGGCTGCCGGGCTCACGATCAATTAATTGGGCAAAAAGAATTTCCGTTTCGGTTTAATAAAATTTGGAGTGGACTATTAGGCTATTATTATTATTATTATATTTTTTCTTAAATCAAAGGGCAATAAAAACTGAAAGGTCACTTCTCTAAAACTCACTTTCCTGATCTTGGCCTATTGATGGAGGGGGGCATGGGGCAGAACGCCGTTGTGTTGATGACAGGCGTTGGTCTGGGATAGGATTGTCTAGGCCTGATCCTAGCCCGCTCCTGGATCCGATCCCATACTGGAGGGGTGATCTCCTGCCATAGGGCTGGACCGCTGTCGTATCGCCAAGGACGGTACCTCACCATGTCTGCGTTACGCTCCAGTGTTGAGCTTGGAGGTCGGAACTGAAAAATTATTTGTTTAAAGTAAAAACAACATTTATTTCATGCTTGAAATTTCAAGGTGATAATTATGATCATTTTGCACCCACATACACTGCAGAGGCGTATCCAGGAAATGAAAAATTGGGAGGGGCATATACGTGACATTTGTAGCACCAACGGTCATAATCAGGCCCCCCCTCCCCCCCCCAAAAAAAACAGAGCCATTTCCTTGCAATGTTTCTTATATTATAGGCACCGACTACTTGCAGCTCTATTCATTGATTTGTTAACATGTACTGGTGGAGAAACAGCAAGGGGGCTCGCCCAATTGTGGTTCATTAATTTTGGTTTGAGTTGTTGTCAATAGGATTTAAGCAAATGTTTTTTGAATCTATAATATCACATTAAGTAATATCTCACATGAGTCATCATACGCTAAACGTAAGGAAGTAAGTGCATGGTTTAATTTTTTCCTGATTTTTATTTGTTTTATTCGATGAGCAAATACCCAAAACACCATAGCTGTCGAAAGGAAACAGAGATGTAACAACCTTCCTTGTGATGATAGGAAATGCAAAAGTAGATAAGTGAAAGTATAGTCTACCTTAGGTAACGGTAGACAAGCCGATTCCGTCATCCTTCGAGTGGTGGATGTATAGAAAGCCCTGATAGCAAGCTGATTGATTTCTTCAGGACTTAGTCCCTTCAAGGGACCCTCTTCTGAGTCTACGTCAACTCTCTTCTCTTCTCCTTCTTCCTCTTGACCTCCCTTCTTCTTCTCTTCTTCTTCTTGGCTAGTCGACTTTCCTTCTCTTTCTTCTTCTTTTAAATCGTTCTGTTCCTCTGGGTCATCCGTTCTAGCACATGTGTTCTTATGATATGATGACGCTATGCCCCTGCTTTCAGAGGCTGGTATTAGTTGGAACGAGGTGTTGGTCAAATGTGGTGGTTCGGATCTTACTATCGGCTTGTCAACAAAGAACCTACGGGGAAAAAAAGGACAGTCGTGAATCAGGCTTTGATGGCAAAATGAAGGTTATGAAACACAGTGTAGATCTATTTCTTTTGGTTTAAAAAAAATAGGGGTAGGCTATTAAAACCAATGATGAAAAATCAATCTAAAGTGTTATACAACTTGTACCAAAATGTGAAGATTTCGGTTCAACAGTCGTTGGTGAAAAACCCGTGCGTAAGGAAGGTGATATCCAAAGTTTTATGAACAATAATAGATACCAAAACAAATCGTCGCACGGCTGGCAGAAGGGCGTTAGCTCGAATTTCAGGTCAAAAATCGATTTTTGATATTTCATGTCATTTAATAGAGTTTTCAAAGCTCTTTCAAATGATGTGATCGAGATGGCATAAAACGAAGTAAATGATTACGTAATCGACAATAGTAAAAGGGCGTTAGCACAAACTGTCAGATATCGCGCTAAGCAGAAGGGCGTAAGCCCTCTACGCCCTTTGCATATTAGGCGCGAGCGTAAATTTTGATCAAAGCAGAAGGGCGTTATCGCGAAGCTGACGTCTGCTAGGCCTGTGGTAAGCAAAATAACTGCTTCTTCTTTTAAATAACGTGTTGTAAATGTCAAATTATCTGGAAGATTTGATATATTTGGTCACACTGATTACATTATGATTAGGATCGTTAGAATATTTTGATTTTATCGGGTAAAAATGCGATGTATAATGATGATAATTAATACGTTGCCCCATGTATTGATTTATATGGTATCACGGGCAAGTAGAGTCATTACGCATTATCATTGACTCTCTGTGAGCTGTGCTGGGGTGGATGTTGAGTGGCATTGACTCTATGCTTTGCTGGAGTGGGTTGCAATGGAAGCGCTCCCTTGAAGTTGAAGGCCTCCAAATATGAAGTAGATCTAGGTCTAGCAACTAGCATCAAGCCCCAAGTCAAGGGTGATTTTCGAAAGTGCGTTCCACGCAGTTACTAGCTGTCCCGAGGGAAAACGTCAGTTCCGGTAGAGTTGGGTGCGGGATGTGATGTTGTTTGTGTGAGGTTGTTCAGTTAGATCAAGATACATGTACAGTATGTAGGAGTAGTCGTCAATCTATAGATCTATGTGCCGTGATAATCATTTCACTGTTTTTTCGCTCATGGAAAGACGAGACAAGACAACAATTTGTAAAGACAGTGGTACGGATTGAAATTTGAAAGCATGCTTAGCGTAGATCTACAAAATTAGTTAAATAAATGCCAGATTGTTAGTAGTATACCGTATTCAGGTATTATTATACCAATTGCAACAGTGCAAGCAGATTATAGACTCTAGAGGTCTAATACTTCTTATTGTTCAAATTAAATTTGCAAAAATGATAGTAGTCTACAGATATGAAAGGAGAATGGTTTGAATTTTGATACCTTTGTCTTTTAGTGGCTTTGTTCAAATTTAATCAAGGGCAATCTCAAATGATAGTTGCATGTCTAGAACTCAAGTTTCTACTTTCCGCTACAAGTATTGGGGACGGTCAATTGTAAAGTAGCTTGTAAGTTGGATTAGATCTATTTTCAGTCAAAATTAATGTAACCCTTTTGTTTCCCTCACTTTGTCAGGATTTGCACAGGTAGGCTGCAGCATGGAGCCAACAAGAGAATTGCTTGTTCAGTGGAACAAAGATGGCTCCAAAAAATGTGGTAGTGTATGGAGATATATTCAATGTCCCTGTATTCCAATAAAAGGGACAAAAGTCTTCATGCCTTGGAAAGGCAGGAGATGGGAGGGAGTTGTCCTGTCAGTGGATGATGAGTCTGAGGAAAGTGATGATGACAGCATACCAGATCAACCAAGGCTTGACGTTGGAGATGTCGGTGTCGGTGTCAGAATGACAGGTAATGTATGATACTATTGATGAAACAGTGTTGGCCTACATACTATTCTGTTTGGTTTGATAACAATATGACAGCAATCATTGAACTGAAATGCTATACAGTATCCAGGGGCGTCTCCAAAGGGGGGGGGGGGACGCGACACCCCCCCCCCCCCCCACCTGTCAGGATATTGTCGGTAAATTGCGCTGCCCTCGTGAAAAAAAGAGAAAAGTGGGAGGGGAAAAAAGTGAGGAAAAGAAAAGAAAAACAAGAAAAGGAAAAGAGAGGAAAGAAAGGGAAAAAAAGAGAAGAAAGAAAGAGAAAAAAGAAAAAGAGGGAGGAGAGGAAAAAAGAGAAAAGAAGGAGAAGACAGAAACAAACAAAAAAGGGGGAAACAAAAGAAACGCGGGTGAAAGAGAGGAGAGAGAGGGGAGGTAAGAGCCTGGGAGAGGAGGAGTGGGAGTAAAAGAAAGGGGGGGTTTTAGGGTGGAGTCGTCTCGTCGAGGGAGCAAGAAAGACACAAGTAAATATGTTACTGTGTCGGGTCAGCTGTGTCGGTATTCTTGCTCGATCCTCGTGTACTATATCAATGCAGAAGTTTGAAGTCGGTGAGGTTTATATTGCCGGTCGGCTACAAGTTTTTTTCCCTACGAAATGTGACTTTTTATCCGCTGCGATGACTTCGAGAGTGACTACGACTACAAAACTTGTATTTTCTAGAAGTTTCACTTTCCTATAATATCAGCTAAAGAAATCAGAGGTTTAAAATTTTCGGGGAAACTAAATTCAAACAAGGATAAAGAGTCAGCAATAGTACAACGAATTGTCTTCCTTTCTCTATATTTTGATGAAACGCCAAAAATTCTGCGCTTTTCGCGAGAGGGAAAACTTAATTTAGACGAGTCGAGAACGGTAGAACGAATCGTCCTCTTTATCTAATAATTTAAGGAAACGTCTCAGCTTCCGCGATTTGCGCGGGAGGGGGGACAACCGAATTTAGAAAAGGATTAAGAGTCGAGAATAGTACAACGAATCGTCTGCTTTTCTCATAATTTAAGGAAACGTCAAAACTTCCGCGCGAAAGCGCAGGAGGAGGGAAACTGATTTCAGACAAATTAGGGTTAAGAGTCGTGAACGGTACAACAAATTGTCTGCTTTATCTAATAATGTAAAGCCCCACTGTCCTACCTGTAGCTACTTGCTCCCTCTTTATAGAAAACTTCCCCAATCGGTGCCTGTTGGTCCCCCATGATCCTCTTTTTCTTATGTTAGTTGAGAGTTAATGAAATAGCCACCTCTCAGTGACCTCGCTGTGTGGTCTAATCCCTTCTGGCCCAGTAGTATTGACGGTCTTTAAGGAAATGTCAAAGCTTCCGCGCTTTGCGCGAGAGTGGGAAACTGAATTCAGACAAATAGGGCTTATAAAGAGTAGAAAACGGTACAACAAATCATCTGCTTTCTCTAAAAATTAAAGGACACTTCAAAGCTTCCGCGCTTTGCGCGAGAGGGGGAAACTGAATTCAGACAAATAGGGCTTATTAAGAGTCGAAAACGGTACAACTAATCGTCTGTTTTCTCGAATAATTTAAGGGAACGTCTAAGCTTCCGCGCTTCGCGCGAGAGAGGAAAACTGAATTCAGATAAGGATTAAGAGTCGCAAACGCCGGGTACAACAAATCGTCTGCTTTCTCTATTAATTTAAGGAAATGTCAAAGCTTTCGCGCTGAATTCAGACAATTAGGGCTTATTAAGAGTAAAAAACGCCCAACTATTCGTCTTCTTTCTCTAATAATTTAATGAAACTTCAAAACTACCAAGCTTCACGCGAGCAGGGGAAACTTCATTCAAACTAGGATTAAGAGTCGAGCATATCAACGAATCGTCTACTTTCTCTAATAATTAAATGAAACATCAAAACTTCGGCGCTTCGCGCGGGAGGGGGAGAACTGAATTCAGATAAGGATTAAGAGTCGAGAACAGTACACCGAATCGTCTGCTTTTCTCATAATTTAATGAAACGTCAAAGCTTCCGCGGAAGGTGGAGAAACTGAATTCAGACACGGATTAACAGTCGAGGATGGTACAATAAATTGTTATATTTTCTTAATAATTTAAGGAAACGTCTAAGCTTTCTAAGGCGTATCACCCACCCCCAATTAAAAATGATACGCTTGCCCACTACCGCCCCTCCCTAAAAAGTGCTACGGTGTGTCTGCGTGCTCCCAAATCCGTACGGAGGCTGTACTCACCACGTACCGATACCCAAATTTTGCACACGTTTTTGCACGTAGACAGCACGCACTTGCATGTATGGCGGGATGTGACCACCGAATTAGTTGACGAAATAATTCGTATATTTATGTCGTCGAGGAAAATGACCATTTGCGCATACACAAGTACTATAGATAGTTCATATGAAAAACAATTTAGATTTTGACCCCAGGTTTATAGGGTTAAATTTGTAGATATTGGGACATTTAATTTTGTCGGTAATTGGTGGCTAGTTTTGTCGGTAATCGTTGGCCTCTACACCCCCCCCCCCCCCCCCCCCCCCCCACCGAAGAAGGTCTAGCGACTCCCCTGACAGTATCATGATTTCTAAATGAATATTTCTGAATTATTTTCATTGTAGACCATGGACCTCTACCAGATCAACCAAGGCTTGACGTTGGAGATGTCGGGTCACAATGACAGGTAATGTATGATACTATTGATGAAACAATGTTGGCCTACATACTATTCTGTTTGGTTTGATAACAATATGACAGCAATCATGGAACTGAAATGCTATACAGTATCATGATTTCTAAATGAATATTTCTGAACAATTTTCATTGTACATCATGGACCTATACGAGATCAACCGAGTGTCGGTAGGCTTTATGATGGAGATGTAAAGCAATGAAAAGTAATTTCACGAAGAAACATTGTTGGCTTACATACTTTCCAAAATTATTTGATGATCATTGTTAGCTTTTATTCATATACAGTAAGTGTCATTTAAAAAAAAAGTTTTCATCAAATTTTCAATTTAGTAAAGTTAAATATATCGTCAGTGGGGTGACAAAACCTTGTATCTTAATTTGTGTACCTAATGGCCTACGACACCACCTGATAAATCCATGGAACGCCTTCTCTGTTTTTTTACAAATTCCACACAAACACCCTTGAACTAAACCTCGTAACTTTAACCCCCTTTGAAGCTGCACTGACAAAACCTCGTAACATAAGATACGTAATCCCTTTTTCTCGTAACTCACACACAGCCTAACAGTACCGAAGTTAGTGTATTCAAATCCTCGTAACTTATTCAACCAAATACTCGTAACTCATTCAGAGTTGAAAGTAAGAACTCGTATCTCAATTTGAATAAAAACTAAAAACTTGTATCTCGATGTAGATAAACGCAAAAACCTTGTAACTTACTTTTAAATATAAAACCTATTATTTTACTGTATTTCAACAATCACATTAAAAATTGTATAAATATTCCAGTTTTAAAAAGAAAAGACGGTGTCACAGCACTAAATTTGTTGAGACAGGAAAGTTTTTTCGCTCTTCTGAAAATTCATGATTTTTGAGATACAAGGTTTTGTCACCCCACCGATGATATTAGTTATTTAGTCCTATTAATAAACCAGACTGAGATAGTTGATGAAGTGATATTCAAGTTTTTCTTTGTTTTCTATATTTTTGTAACGTTCTCTTTTTATTCATAGACATGCCTCATTGAAGTTCAAATGTGTCAACATTTCATATGTTTACATGAAGTGTTTAGTACATGCTCCCAGTGTCTTGTTTCCCTGTGTGAACACCACTTCAAAGAGGACAACCCATGTGCAAACCACAATAACTATGCTGTAAGTTAAACTAGCGTTATGTTGATTTCACTAAAAATGCCTTATAAATTATCGTAAAGCCCTTATACAGTATTGATATGGTCAAAAAGAAGTTATAAATCCATGATAATTGTTACATTATTCCTTAAGCTGTTTCTGCTAGTTTGCTTGCATTTTTTGAAGATGTTGCAATAGTTAAAAGTATCTGCCCCCCTGATAATTGTTTAAAATCACAAAAACAATAAAACCGTTAACTTTAAAGTCATTGCTGCCATGACAATTTCAGGATATGTTCAAAAAGTTCTCAAAAAAGAATGTAAGTGGCACTCCCCTGGTTATGGGTACCGGTATATTTAAGTTTTGACTGCGGCAAAGCTGAAAGATGAAGGTATCATGCTAACTATATTACAAAATATTACAGTGCTCTCTTTATAATATTATTCCTGGCTTTACATATTTTTACTACCATAGCATCTACTTCAAATTCCGGAGAGGTTTTCAGAAGATCATCCAGCGATCGACACAGTTCTGGAATTGATGACGGTTGTTCCCTTAGCAATCGAAGTGCAGGAGACAGTTGACATAGTTTCAAGTTATCCAAGCAGACAGTGAAGGTAGTACTGAAAAATATTAATGTCTCAAATGTCACCAATTTGAGGTTGTAGTTTACAGTGGGCATTGTCTTTAGGAATTATAAGTCAGTTTGTTGGAATTATGCTGTTGCAGACACCTCTACAATATTCATTTATCAAAACAACAACCTCTTAAGCTATCTTTTGAACCATTTATTTCTCCTACAATATTTACTTCAAAAATGGGTTTTACATTTCTATGTCATAAAGTTTATTCTTGTGTACTTTACAGAGAATGGCTTCTACACAGAGATATTGGAGAACGTCCTGAACAATGTGAGGTAAAAGTCTGAAGCTTTAAAATGGTTGCCTGTTACAAATTCTGCCCAGGGAGTGGAGAATTTTCTTTGAAAAAGATAAATGTATTTTTGTTGTACCAGAAAATGGCTGGTGTACATCTCTTTAGACAGAGTAAATGGAGTAATTGCTCTGCTTCCCTCTGATGGAGGGGTTCTGGGATAAATGACCATGCAGACGTACTGCAATTCTCTTCTTTCTCCTCCCATCTCTCTTTCTCTCTCTCTCTCTTTCACTCCCTTATTTCTTGATGATGGCTGGGTTTAAAGGTGGGTAGGGGAGAGAGTGAATGTATTGGTTCATTAAATCAAGGCAAGCGAGGAGAAGCAAAAGGAGAGAAGCATGCCAGTCAGATTGCAAGGTTACAGTCATTTACATTGACTTGCTGCAGTGTTGACTCCTTCATCCTTCACCAGTACTTTTACTTTTATATAATTTTGCACTCTGTACAGTTCAAAGCATGAATATGTTAAACTAATACTTTGTCCACCACTTTTATATTTTTTATTCTAATACAGAATAAGAGAGCCAGGAAACGTATTGCAGATCCCAACAGCTGCTACAGTTTCACTTATTGTCATACTTTTTTGTATCGCCTTTGATAATGCTGAAATATTTTTGAAGTATTTTCTCTTTTGTTAACTTACTGCACAGTACGTTAACTGCAGAATACACAAAGTTCTTTTAAGAGCTACCATGTTGTACTTTCTGCCATAAACGTGTGCTACAGTTTCACTTATTGTCATACTTTTTTTTTATATCGCCTTTGATAATGCTGAAATATTGTTCAAGTATTTTCTCTTATGTTAACTTACTGCACAGTACGTTAACTGCAGAATACACAAAGTTCTTTTAAGAGCTACCATGTTGTAATTTCTGCCATGAACATGTGCTACAGTTTCACTTATTGTCATACAATTTTGTTTATTTGCCTTTGGTAATGCTGATATATTGTTCAAGTATTTTCTCTTTTGTAAACTTACTGCACAGTTTTTAAAACTATGCTACAAAAGCTCACTAGAGCTAGAACAGATTCAACGCAGAATACAAAACTTTCTTTTGAGAGCTACCATGTTGTTCTTTCTGCCATGAGCATGTGCTACAGATAAGTTCCAATTTTTATATTTAATCATGATTCATTATGATTGATCAATTTTGAATGATTGTACATGGAATTGTAAAATGAACTGTACAAAAAGGATTCCAGTTATATTGCAAAGAAATAAATTCAGTCATAACCATGACGGAAGTGTTCATCTTAACATTTGATTGCTTTAATTGTGCTATTTAGCGTTTATTCTTATATAGTTACATTTGTTCATGAGAAAAATGTGTCCGAGAGAGTAATGTACTAGAATGGAAATGACTAATGCGACAAGAAGATAGACACACAACTGCAAAAGAGGGGTAACAAACGATTATGAGATGTGTTTAATGGAGAAAGAAAAAGAGAGATAGACAGAGAGATCGATAGAAATAGAGAGAGAGAGAGAGAGTGAGGGGATGTTCTTGTTTGCATGAGAGAGAGAGACAGAAAGAGAAAGAATTGAGAAGAAATTGTACATAGTGCTTGGTGTGCCCCCCCCAAAAAAAAGTATACAAATATACTTTTGATCATTGACAACAATATCCAATCAAACTTAAGTCACATATGAAGCACAACGTACAGTATACAGTTGTAGACATAAAGGGCATTCTGTAACAAATTGATGTATTTCCTGCATTCTGTGAAGGATTAAAGATAAATATCAGGATGGGGCAGAGTGATGTGATCAGTGTAATTTTATTTTTTACTCTATTAACTCTTTGAATATATTGACCTCTTTGTATAGAGATACGAATAAGAGGAAATATAATAGGGTTCGAAATCATGGGAATAAATTCCGGAAATCAGCATAAAGTAATTATTACTATTTGAAATTCCAAATAGGTTTAAGGAAACATGAAAAATACCTTGGATATTATAAGCGATGTACTTGGTTAATGCATTAAGAATTACCCTTGCATAATAATCAATAAATTGTCGTGATACATTATGATTTAAAATAAATTGCTGATAAATTTAATGATTTTTTTGTAAATATTGGAAGCGAAATCCGTAAAGCATAACCTAATACTATTAATTAATGCTAAAACAAAAGCAAACGAAAAATCAAATTTGATATTTTATCATGCGTCTGCTTTTTATTTCAGAAAGTCTGAATGACAACACGCTCCATCCGGGCTACACCATGCGCGTTACGCCCTTTTACAAGCTTTACGCGCCGAAGCGTATCTATTTTACTCAAAGCAGAAGGGCGTTACGCGGCTTGCGCCCTTTAGCATGAAAGAAGATGCGCAATAATGCGTTAAGCAGAAGGGCGTTAGCACTAAATCGCCTCAAACTTTTATAAAACTGACTTATTTCCGGGAAAAAATGTCTTGTCGTGTTCTGCTTTAACATTTCTATTAGTCTTATAAGTTTTAAACCAAATTTCGGGACGGAAAGCAGTTTAAATATAAAACAAATCTTTAAATGCGAATAACTCGAAAAGTAGTTTTCGAGTCGATCGCGCGCTAACGCCCTTCTGCCAGCCGTGCGACGAAATACTGAATATTTACACCCCGTATTTACCACTCATCGAAGATTTCATTGTTTTTGTTGCTGATTTGACATACAAAAATAGAGAATCTAAATGAAGAAGGCCAAATAGCAAATTCCTCTATCATCAAACTAACTATTTACATCCATTTCCCAAGAGAGTTTGCTGTATATTTTTAAAATATCTTTAAAAGAGAGATACAAACAGCGTAATCGCTCTCTCTCTCTCTTTCTCTTGGATTTTTTTTTTTTTTTTTGCTCGCGTAGAGTTTGAAACGAATCAATTATTAGCCTCAATTATTTATCAATTATCAAATAATCAATTATTATCTCATTGTTTAATTTAATTCTATGCAATTCGGAAATCACAAAAAAGGCTAAATATATTTCATGCATTCTCAATGATAAAGAAATAAAAGCTAACTGAAACAAAGTTTAAAGTTGATGCAGATCCCTTTCTCTAAGTATAATATAGATGATCTCATTCATAATAATAATAACTGAACTGTCAAAACAAAATATCATATAAAATACCTAATGTTGCAGCTCATTCCCTGGTTCCAGCCAGCCTCCCAGTGTCTTCTTGGTCCTTGTGGTTCGATTGGAAACTGTCTTTGCGAAAGCTTTGCTTCGTTCACAAGCTCGATGGATGGAAGTTGATGGTAGTGAAACGTTGGCGGTATTTCGCTTGGGTTATATTGGTAGCACAATCGATTGGTTGTGCTATTGGATTTGGGTGGACTCTTGATTTCCATACCACGGATACATTTGATAGTTTTAATGATCTTTCCCTATTACATGTATTTGAAAGTAAAGATGACTTAGTACCGTTTTCATGCGAGCGGTAGATGTACACAAGTGGTATTCACATTATCTTGATATCCTATTACATCATCCGCGTTGCTAAGCCTCAATGCGCGCGCTCAAGGTTCGCGCGCTTTGTGACGTATTGAAAATATTACAATGCCATTCAGCGCGCGCAACCAAGTCTTTACCGCGCGCTTATTCCAACCACAAGCATATTGGAAAATTATTAATTCAGCTAACGGTTTAAATAATGAAAAAACCCCAATTGAAATTCATTCTCTTGAACAACACTTTCGTGGTCTGAGCCAAAATCAAAGAGATAATGCAGATATATTAGAACCTGACCAAATTCTTTCGAGCAATCAATGTATCAATCGTTCTATAAGCAGGGAAGAAGTAACACGTCAAATAAATAGACTGAAAAACGGTAAGGCACATGGCGATGATTTAGTTCTAAATGAATTTTTGAAGTGTAGCACAAAGTCTGTTTTTATCAGTAATCATTAGGTTATTTAACATTGTATTAGAAAGTGGTATTGTACCATCTGAATGGACAATAGGGTTAATTCACCCTCTTTATAACTTAAGAAGAAAGGAAATCCTAATGATCCGAACAACTATAGAGGAATAACATTGCTTAGTTGTCTTGGCAAGCTGTTTACAGCAGTCTTGAATGAGCGACTTACGTCTTATCTCGAAGATAATGAATTGCTAGGTGATGAACAGGCTGGTTTTCGAAGTGGTCATTCAACGCTTGATCACATTTTTGTTCTTCATTCAGTGATCGATTTATATCTCTCTTCAAAAGAGAGGGTTTATTGTGCATTTATTGACTACAAGAAGGCATTTGATTTGGTTGACAGGAGTTCTCTTTGGAATAAATTACTTAAGAATAATGTTGATGGAAAGTTTTTCAATGTAATTAAGCATATGTATGCTCAGGCTAAGTCATATGTAATTTCTGGTACAGAAAAGTCTTCTTCATTTGATTGTAACATTGGTGTTACAGGAGAAAATTTGTCTCCGATGCTATTTGCCCTTTTTTTTAAATGACTTCAAACAATTCATTTGTGAAAGGTTTGGAGGCATACATATTCTTCCTGACAAGATTGATGCAGCTGCGTATCAAAAAGGTATAGATGTATATATCTCAGGCTTTTTACATTACTGTATGCAGACGATACAATAGTTCTTGCAAAAACTGAAAGTGAACTTCAGCTTGCTCTTGATGCAGTATCTGATTACTGTAAAAAATGGTTTCTTCAAGTTAACACAGCTAAAACCAAAGTTGTTGTATTTTCTCGTGGTAAAGTTCGAAAAATTCCTATATTTAAATTTGATCATGATATTGTAGAAGTTGTTGATGAATACGTCTATCTTGGAACTACTTTTAACTACAACAACAAATTTCGTAAAGCTCAAATTAAGCAACTTAATCAAGCTAGACGAGCAATGTATAGTCTATTATCTAAAACTTATCAACTGCACTTACCTATTGATATCCTCTTGGAATTATTTGATCAACTTGTGTTGCCCATTCTGCTCTATGGAAGTGAGATATGGGGATTTGAAGTGCTACATGATCTTGAAATTTTCCACATGAAATTTTGTAAGCAAGCCCTTTCTGTCAACAAAACAACTGCAAATTGTATGGTACTTGGTGAATTGGGGAGGCTTAAACTTGAGAAATATATCGAAAGCAGAATGATAAACTTCTGGTGTAGGATTGTACATAGTGGACAGGATAAATTTTCTGGTAAGGTGTATATTATCTTAAAATTACTCTTTGAGAAGAATATATATCAGGCACCTTGGTTAAAAAAAATCAAGCTGACTCTGGACAATATGGGGATGTCTAATTTATGGGAAATTTGTGAAAATACTAGCTATGAGTGGGTCAAACAAACTGTGGATCGTCGATTGAGAGATTCTCATGCTCAGTATTGGTCTGCTTGTATGTATGATAATTCGCATTGTGTTAACTATCGAATCTTCAAACATTCTTTATGTTTAGAAAGATACTTAATCGATCTCATTAAAAGAGATCGGACAATATTAAGTCGTTTTCGCTGTGGCAATCATTACCTGCCGATTGTAGCTGGTAGATATTCAAATACTCCAAGGGAAATGAGGCTATGTACGCTGTGCAATTTGCAATCGCTTGGGGATGAGTTTCATTACTTGTTTGTATGCCCTACCTTTCGTTCAGAAAGAAAATTGTTCATCGATAAATATTTTATTGAAAGACCAAATACACTGAAAATGGATCAGCTTTTTAACTCCAATAATATACAAACACGTTTAAACTTAGTAAAATTCTGTCGAAAAATAATGCTTCGTTTTCATTAATTTAAGTATGTGCAAAAACATGTTATGAGTTCAATATTAACTTTATGTTTCTCTTTTTTGTCTTATATCAATTTATTAAATTGATATCAAGAATATTTTCAGTAGTTCATTAATTCAGATATCAATTTACTGGTGCCAGTAAATTTCTTTTTCAATTGCTTCCATTAATTTCGTCATTAATTATCGTTTTAATTAATATTATCGTTTTGTTTTTGATTATTATTATTATTATCATCATCAATATTGTTATCATTATCATCATAATTTTTCTAACTATTGTCGATAGTGTTATTTTGTATGGATTAACATTAATTCTATTTGTATTGTATATTTCACAGTGTTTAATTGACAAATTCAAACTGATTGTAAACTTCTCCAATACCCCAATGTGGGTGACATGAGAATAAATTGTCATTGTCATTGTCATTGTCATTGGGAACCAAAGGCTTATTCAATATTCATATTCATAATGTAATATGGTCGATATAGTAACGCATGCGCATTGTCTTTTTTTCATTGCGATAATATGCTAATAAGTGGAAAAGAGCTCATGAATATTCCAAATTTTAATTTAAATATTTTGCGCGCGACGCGCAGTCCAGAATCCCCATTTCGCTGGTGCACTAAAAATTTGTCGTCTTCGTAGGCTAATACATGAAAAGTGGAAGCAGTGTGCACTTTTGACCCTCCAAAATCTCCCCATGGCTAGATGGATGCAGAAGCGGAGTTGAACCCCCCTGGATATAAATATAAGAAGGTTAACTGATTTCAGTATCTTTTGTTTTGTTTTGTTTGTTTGTAGTTCTTTGTATGTTTGTTTATTTTCTGTGTGTTTTGTTTTTGTTTTAAATTTGTAAGAAAACTTTGGATGTGTTTTTATCACATTCGAATAGAGATTGTGGCCCATGCTACATTATATTTACTTGAATCATATTTTCTTGAATGAAAACGTACCCCTTTTCAAAAAGCTTCGTGCTCCTGAAAATAATAAAGCCTGAGTAGTACTACATAAAAATGTGCATTTTATAGATACATGTTTTCACATTTTTTAAAATCATAAATATGAAGAAGCTGAAATTGAAATTATTGAAATTATCACTTTACTGCAGCAAATAAATGTCCATGAGAGATCTTGGATTTAAAACTAAAAAATGATTAAACGCAATTGAAATAAAAATACAAAAAAACGCAAGTCGTATACATTCGCAATCATCATTTGGTTGAAATTTAAGTTGCTTTGTATTTGTGGATGCCGGAGGTGCATTTAGTCAAACTTGTTTTGTGCAGGAAGGCTATGGTTCGGCTTCTCGTTACAAAAAAGCACATATAACACACGAAGCAAATGTTTGGAAATCATATGTTATTTTAATGAACAATAATTCATACATCAACTTCGTTTACGTTGACCAGCCTTAATAATGCTCATGATAATGCAATAATGCCCATGTATGTCTCTATTGACGTTCACACAAAAGTGTACTTATATTATTTAGCTATCGATAAATGTTTACATGTACACAGTCATATAAACAGTCGAACTTTGGTAAAAATCTTTCGCTATCTTAGGTCTTTACGACTGTAGATCTATATACATACAAGGACAACAAATTTGTTCAGCCAAAGAAATTAGTCTAATTTGTAAATGGTAAAAAGTATGCATGGCTGTTTTAGGCTATCGAATCAATTCGTTAGAAGTAAGACACCGAACCGTGCTCAAATTAAGAAAACGCACAAAAGTGCAACCTGCCCCTTTTACAGTTTAATGGCTGTTTACACCAATTGTAGACTTAAGATTTGTATATCACACATAATCTGCCTATAATGACAGCAAATGCGCACAAAAGTCAAGAATTTACAGGATCCACATCTCACGCACACCTTGACCTAGCACCAGGAACCCACACCTGCACTCGACATGGTGATCCCGCCTTCTTTTCAATCTCACCCAAAACTCTGGAATAATCCCTTTACCGATGTTCGTGATGTCCCGTCTATTTGAGATTAGATTAAAGTCACATCTTTTATCATCCTATCATACTTCACTGTACACCTGACTTTATCATGTTTGGTAAAGATACTCATACAAATAAAGCAAATAACGCAGCCAGAGAGAGTTAAGTGGTTAATCGCCATGATTCACAACATCTCACAAAAATAGAAAGTCTAGCATATCTATTTAGTTTTAAAATTGATGCTTTATCCTTATTTCGAATGTGTATTATCTGCGCTGATCGAGCCCATGAAGACAAAAGGGCCATATCCAGTATTCCAGCACAATTTTTGAACTGTTCATCTTGCATTCTCTTTGGTTATGATGACGCTCTCACATGGCACGTCATTGGGGACCTTTAGATTTGCGCGCCGACATAGTGGACTGCCACGTGTGACATCCTTTTAAGGCACTGCCGGTGCCTTGAAAGGGCGTCACATTGCCTTAAAAGATGTCTCACGTAGCAGTTCACTATGTCAACGTGCAAATCCAAAAGTCCTTAATGATCGAGCCAGTCGCCGACGTAGTCCTCTGCCAGCAAAATGACGCCTCTTCTGCAAAAAGGCCTTGCTGACAATAGCTGTTCCTTAAAGTCAGAACAAACTGGGACGAACTTCAAGTTGACCAATGGACTACTCGCAGACAGGATACCCTTCGCACGGGTCGCTGTAGTACGGCACGAACACGGAGAGAACGTTCACGAAGGGGAAGATGATGAGGGCGCCGGCCATCGATCCGAACTGTGTGACGACGCCGTACCATGTCAGCAGCCGGTGGTTGTCGGGCTCGTTGCGGAGAATCAAACCGATGGTCGCCTTCACATGGGCGAAGAGACCGCCTGCCAGTATCCAAGCTATCACCTGAGGAGTAGAGGCAGAAGAAGAAGAAGGAATAAAAGAGAGAGAGGGAGAGATAGAGATGAGAGGGTGTTTTAATAAGTATTTAAAAACATTGGAACAGGTTGCACTGTGATACTATGCTTAAGCACCCTATCCGATTGCTTTATATTTCGTCGTCATTAAAAAAAACAAAAAAACTTTACTTTATTTTCAAATCATTCTGTTATTGCATTTTTGTTCTCGAAAGCAATCGAATTATTAAAAAGCTAAGCGTATCCATAACAGCTTAATGCAAAGGTGATGCCTAAAGACTATTTGTTTTGATCCATCACTTCTTGAGGTTATCGTTGTTGTACTGTGGGGATTTTGTCTATACAATATATTTTTTAAAGCTAAGCCAACATAATAATCTGATACTCAAAGGGGGGAATCAAATTAATAGGAATGTAGTTGACTTGATCAACTGGTGGTACCGGATTTTTAATAAAAATAATTATGTTTATTAAAATCATTAGTGAAATGCTTGTGACCGTGCTGCGTGTGCGATTGATTTGCAGAATAAATAATAATACACCGTGTATCTTACCACAAGAACGATTCCAGATACCTCCTCCTGCAGAGGTGGGGTGGGACTGAGTAAGGCTGTGGCCATGCAGTACCCTCCTGTCAGCAACCCTAGAAGACATGTCCCTGCGACCAAGACCAGGCTCGTGTGAGGAAAGAACAAGACGATGAAGCAGGCAACAGGATTGGCCACCTGACACAGTGTGGCTGCCAGGAGATAGGCGTTGAAGCCATAGGCACCGCAGGAGAAGCTCTGGATAGACGGAAGGACACTGTTGCTTAACGCATTGGCAATGGCAAGGATGACAAATAAAATGGCGTATTCTCCCTTGGAATGGCTTTGCCTTTGGGGAGAGGGTTCTTCTTCAATCTTCTCTGAACTATTCTGTTTATCCTCTTCGTTGATCTCAGTCGCTCCGTATTTTGATTCCGTGTATTTTTCAGGTGATGATTTTGTTTCAACATCTTGCTGAGCATACTCCTTCTTGGAGGACGGAAGAGTGTGCAGGAACAGGAACGCTGTAAAGGACAGGAACATAAACGCAGAGAGGAACGAAAAGAAGGTCTCTGGTGAGAATTTAGCTGGTTGTGTCTGTGATGTCCACGATGTGCAGTTCTCCCCCGTTGACTGATGAGTGAAGGTGTAATTAGCGATGCACACCTGCTGACCAACGCCCTGACCAAGGGCAACCAAACTCGGCGCCAAGGCACTGAATCCCTGACCAACGAAGAACCACGTCATGTACGAGCTCTTCAGTTTGACCATGAAAGGAATGAAGGTCACTGAGGATGTGCAGTTGGCGAGAGCCAGGATAAAAGATAGGCATATCAGAGCAGTACTTCGAGGCTCTCCAAACACTCCCCAGATAGTCGTCGCATCCCAGAAGAAGACAAGAAGCAGACACGCTAGTACTCCTGCGGACAAGGTCAGGTAGATTGTAGGAACTTCCAACTTGTTTCCCTTCACGAAGTAGCTGATGGCCGTGAAGGCGAGAGGTCCGATGTTAGCTAACTGAATAATGATGACCAGATAGGAGGCAAGGTTGTACCCCTCGGGGATTCCAAGGGCTACCATGACAGGCATTTCTACCCAAAGGCCATTGATGGCCAACCATGATCCTGATCCGAAGAGCACCACGAGGATAATCACGCAGATTTGGCGAATCTGATCTCCTAAACTGCCCTCCATAGCTGTGTAGAGTCACTGTAGCTGATCCAGCCAAATAATACTAGTATCGTCCTGTCGTTGTTATCAGGAAATGATATAACTTGTGGCGTTGCGAAACGTTCATCTGTGATTTTTGATAAGGTATGCAGACTCCAATCCCACGTAATCTTTATCGCCGTCAATTATCTATTGAACAAAGAACACAAATATAGAGCAATCAGATAACACATCAGACGAAGTATGAGCATGTCAAGTGTACTGACTTACCGTATTTACTTAACGTTCAGTCATATCCATTAATAACCTCAATTCGAACTGTCTTGGTTGAGGGTAAACAAACTCCTGGCGATGGATGCAGAATATTGGACGAAGTTATACGAAACACAGAGAGGACAGAGCAAACCAAAACGGTTTCCATGAAGAAAATTTTCTGAACTTGAGTTAATGAATTTGTCCTCCATGGTTGTAAAACGAAAATTAGTTACATACTAAGGGGTCAAGGGATTTAACATAGCTGACCTCAATACAAAGTACAGCAAACCAATTATGAGATAAGATTCGGATCACCAGCTTGGAGGCGTCATAATAAGAAGATTTATCGAGTGCCTATAAAGACTAGTCATTGTTTAAACTGTGATAACTAGCTTATTGAGGCTTGAATAATCATTTCTGTACAGGTTCATTTGTTCAAAGAGTCAAAATTCAGACTCACGATGTAGAAGCACTTAGTCCACACAAAGACTTAATAGACGACATTTAAATCAAGATATTAATTTCACGAGAGTTGCTGTAATGTTGTGTATACGCATACTTGACAGAAAGACATCTTTTGTAGGTAACTAGTTACCCCCCCCCCCCAGGAAGAAAAAACATAATATTAACATATAAAATATAATATTATCTAAATATGAACAACAAACCAAAATAATGATTTAAGAAATTGCAGTCGTCATTACAAGTTGCTTGCTATTTTAATTTTTTTTCTTCAATTCATTACCAAATCACCAACCCTTGAACATAAAGATTCATGAACTACAATTTAAAAACTGTTTTTCCTTTTAAATCCTTGATTGTAATGACATTTCAGATACAGAGTGCAGAGTGTCTACAGCACAAGACGACCGACTGAAAAGATGTGCGAGTGTGTGAGGGGGGGGGGGGCTTGGAAAGTAAATTATGTATCTAACAATCTGGTAAGAAGCCATGCCCAGAGGAAATTGATTATCTGTTTAATACATCCATTCTTTGTTCTATGTTAAAATGTAATGAATAGAGTGAATACATAACCATCGAGCAATTCTGATAATATTATTGTTTTAAAGACTCAATTAAAATATTTTGATAGCTGATGTAGAAAATGTGTCACAATGTAGTCAAGTATTATATTCATATAAAATTGTGTGTTAACTATCGCTTCTATAGATCACTGTGAAGAACAGAGCCATTAACAGAGCAATCGTCTTTTTGAATTTGTATGTTTTTGTGTATATTGTTTTGTACAGTATGTGTAAATGTTCTATACAGGGAAATAAACCAACCGATCCAACAACCAAACCAACCCCAACTATTTACAGTTAACCTCCTCACAAAAGTAGGCCTCTCGGGGTTTGAGGGTAAAGTGAGCAAAGTTCAATGCTTTTTTCCTCTTTCATACATGTTTAGACGTCGCCTCTTACTTCAGATATTTTGGTTATTGAAATTACAATCAAAATTCACGAGCTGCTGACTAAAATGGGTGCCTTAACAATATCATGGGAGAGATAATGACTTGTGCTCAATCAGCATAAGAACTTATCTTAATCATTTTCAATTCCATTTCGGTACCTTTCAAATGAATGTTGGTGTATCTACTTCCCTATAGATACAACATCACGGTATTGACATCATTGGGGTCGAAAGGTGAAAGATACCTGTCATCAATGCTTCGACATAATTACATTACTATGGTATGATATTGGTTTAATAATAAGAATGATATTATAATGCACATTGTTTACTTGTAAAGACAGTTTCACTTACCATTAATCGCGGGTTGCAATATGTTAGAGTCACAAAAAAACAATGTAGTTTTAGACGTAAAGCATCTCTTGATTATTGCCGTGTACACGAGAAATGACCACACAGAACGACACACATAATTCGGACCTTGATCTATATAGTTCGTCCGGTTTACTGTTTTGTCAGTTGCAGTGTGTTCTCAAGATATAATTCCACTCCGTCTTTATAGGCCTACAATGTTCATCAGCGCACCTTTATAACTCTATTGTACATAGGCATACATCATCATGCTTTATCACATGTGTACGCGGTATTTTCCTTTGCTATATCGCGGTGGTAATTTTGTTGGACGTGTCCATCTCGTTTTATTCCAAATGTAAAGAACTTTCGATTATAGTCCACAGTTGGCTGATTTCGATGAGCCCTTTCACAGCAGTCATGCGATATCCCACGTGAGTCTCAGAGAGAGTGTTTACAATTCTAATCAATATCATCTAGCTTCTCCCTTTGAATCAATACAAAACATGTTGACAAAAAGCATTGTCCCTCTTTGAAATCGAACAGTATTTGGTATGTCTGGGAATAATGACAAGGGGTACCTCGATCATTGTCTGAAATGGTGACGACTGGTTATGCTAGACAATGTGGTTAGGACTGGCCAGGGAGGCTTCAAGCCGCCAAAAAGTTGTGCGCAATCTGCAACTGTTGACCACGTGGTGAGATAAAGAGCGCATGAAATAGCGGGATTTAGAATTCCTACATCAGAAAATAGTATCTCAGCAAATGTTCGCTGTCCCTTTCAATGATTTCTCATCAATAATGTTGAATGTGTAATGAGTTGAAAAAGCGAACACAAACTTTGTAATTTCATACTTTTTTGTCCAACTGCAAAAATACAAAAAGCACGCGAAAGCACGCAATAGCAAACTTAAAGCTATCGAAGATTGTGAATCATGCATTTAAATGACGGGACATTAAAAGATGTAAAAATAATCGGATTATCCTAAAATTTTGAATTTTTGTCAGGATCTAATTTGTCTTTTACCAACTCTGGCACACAAATTATAGGAAGGGCGTATTACTCAATTTGAAAATTTGTTTGATGCACTATTCCCAATTAAAAAAAACATTTAAAGTTTAAAATTTACACAAATTTTGCCGATAATTTAATAAATGTTAAAACTGGTGCCAAGCCTCTGAAATTGCCCGCAGTGGAAGAGCGGCTCGGAGCATGGAATTTCAAAGCCAAGTAGAATGTTATATACGCATCCCATTGTTACGATTAGAAATCACACATGGCATTGCGTTTGAATAAAATTACAAGAGTTTCCACTCCTTCTCTATCACCTCCCTGGACTGGCTTAGCGTGAGTTCCGAGAGGGGGCGCCGGCATCATGTAGTTGGAGGTGGGGGGGGGGGGGGGCAACGGTCTTATACTCGGTGGATGAATATCATGCAAATTAACAAGTCTATTGACTAGGACAATTTGTTGTTAAATCTAATTTTATGTTTCCTTCCTCCCTATTCATTCTTTATCCTTTTTCTTATTTTCTCACCCCCCCCCTCCCTATTCGATTAAGGGGCTAGCGCACCCCCTCTTCTCGTCCCCAGGATCTACGTTACTAGCTTCTAGTAGTAAGTAGCATTACAGCCACTCTGGCGAACCCATTGTATTATTTTGTCGACATGATCAACTAAGAGCTCAATTATGATAGAGACCCAACAGAAACCATGTTTTCCTAATAGTGCCCTTCATCATTAGAACTGAGTGTTTTTTGTTTACATTAAAAAAGTAATAATGATACGAGTTAATAGGACATCATTTGGTCAAAATAATCATTCACTTGCTACACCGTCATCTGGTTTTAAAAGGTCTTGAATGATACATCGAGACTTTCAAGGTCAATTTGAATTTCGATTTCGCAAAGATCCTGTGATTGCAGATGTAGAGAAAAGGGAAGAAAAGGACGCCCTTTGGACGTGAGTCACTCATAAAACCTATAGACCAACGACAGATCAGACAGTGACTAATGTCTGTGCACTGCCGTATTGTTATAGTTTTTTTTGGGGGGGGGGGTTGGGGGGAAGAGTTGAATGGCTAGGAATTATGCGTTCATTTTCTACACATGCCTCTCTTAAATTAATTTATAATCAAATTTTAAAAAGGGATGTAAATAATGTTATTATTGGAGGGCTGGTCTAGGGTTCTTGTGTTCATTTTCTATATGTGCCTCTCTTAAATTTATTTATAGTAAAGACGAAAATTAGGGAGGCTTAAATAATTTGTAGGGGGAACTTGAGCCCCTCCCCAAAGCCCCCTCTCGAACCGCAACTGCCAGCAATGCATATAGCTCACTTTATCACTTTTCTCATTCTACATATAAGTTATAACATAGCAGTGCATATAACATCAATGTCTTCATGAAATAAGAGATTGAAATACAATTATCGTGTAAAGGCCTAACATCTACCTTCATTTTTATAAAATCATAAACTGTAGTTTAAGATTGAAAATCACAATCCTTGCCTCGCTTAACCATTATCATCTCTGACCGAAGAAACGTGTAGTAGTGGCGTAATTTGTTGCTATTTCTGTTAATTTTGTATACATTTGCATTCAACTATTTTTAATTAAAGAAATCCTTTGTTAAAAAACAAACACAAATGAGAATGATCCTATATGTCAGGATTATAACCAATACATTTGAATATGAATTCAATTTGTATCTCTGGTTATTTATCCCAGAGTATATTATGCTATCGCATCTCATCGAAATGACAGAACAAAAGTAAGGCCTGACTACAACAAAAACGGCCCTCTAAATCGGGACGCGAAGCTATCACAAGAAAAGTTGAAAGTAACAGAAGAAAAATATGATCTGAGCGACAACATTCAAAGTCAATAATCTGACAAAATAATTGTGAATGAAGAATAGCAAAAGAATTACCTTATCGGTTAGAACTTTCGTCAAAAAGTGTATTTTTCGATCTCTTCGATGATGCAATCTGTCGTAAAGCCGAATCGTTGTGGTCTATATTCCAAAGATCATAGTATCAGAAGAGAAGCACCAACTAAACGGACATAATTCCATGCAGTACATGATTAATTGGAAATACCGCTAATTTATAGTAGACATGAAAGTGCTGTTGACACTAGCCGGGGACAAGAATGGACGGAAGCAATTGAGATTACATTATATAGGCTCATACACATCTACCTGCTCTTACCGGTCTCATAGGCGTACGTGTTGACAATGAACAATAGGTTTTATGTAATCATTTTCAGGGCGTATATCCAGAATGATTTTTGATAAAGGATGCGAAAATTGAAAGTTGTAGTCGATAGAACTTCTATTCTGGATAGGTTTGTGATGAAATTGAACTTTCATTTTATGTGCAAGTAGGCTACTTTAACTTGTGCCAACAGGCAACCTCTCAATGTCAATGACAGCAACCTGTTTTGACGGGGGGGGGGGCACCCCTGAACCACCTGTTAGAGTAATGACACATCGGTGGTTTGGTAACGGAGGGCAGGGGTGGTATGTAGTTCATGAACATGAACTATTCACTTCCTCATTACAGCAGGTGATTGGAACAATATAATCATGCGGATCAGGCATTGTCAGAATGGGGTCGGGAAGAGGGGGGGGGGGGTGCAAAATGTTTGAAACCCGCATGTAAATGTAGCAAGATAGCGAGAACATTTGACGCTCATGAAAACGAAAAGGGAAGGGGTAACACTTGTTATTAGACTTGTCCTGATTCTTTGCATACTACATGTAGGCCTATAGTTACTTTTAAACTAGAGTTTTAACGATTTACCAAAAGGGCAACAGATAATTCCATGCAGATTCCGTCCCCTGAGATGTTAAAGGTATAATTGTAGCAGGATAAGCCTGCTTTTTAATCATTATTGTCTGTACTTTTGGCACACCAGGGAGGTGTTTCACAAAGACTAAGATCGACTTTAAGTTGGACTTAACTATGGCAGGCCATTCGTGCCACCGTTTGCTCTCACCGTTTACTGGCATTTGTCTCTCAAGGGACGTACAAATCATGGTCACAAATCTACAGAGTATATATTTGTTGATAGTTCATTATTGCAGGAAAAACATATTATCTAAAGATTATAATGGTGAGAGCAAACAGTGGCATGAACAGCTTGTCATATCCAAGTTAAACTTAAAGTCAATCTTAGTCTTTTTTAAACACTCCCATTATTTAGTATTGCTGGGGACACCACCCCCCCCCCCCGTCACTGTTGGGGGAACATCCATTAATTTAAATGTTATTGTGAACTGCTGTAATGGTCCTGAAATATGTGAAAAGGACCTATCAGATATGTTTTAATATTTTGTTAAATGCTTGTGTAAATTAAACGTGCCCCCTCCCCCCCCCCCCCCCATCTGATTGACCCTTGTATATGTATCAAGGTAATCACATAGCTCTATTGAATCAGCAAAATGAGAATAAACATATGAATCAACCATTCAATAGATTCAGAATCAACTCCATTAAGCAATCAATCAATCAATATCCTCGCACATAATCAATTAGTTATCAACTAGCCAATCGCTTAACAAACAAAATCATTCAATCCATGATCTATCAACCAAACGCTCAAATCAACAGCCAATAAAACATTCACTCAACAGATCACTCACTCAATAACTGAAGTATTACAAAATTTACTCATTCACTTACTCCACCCAATTATTTAAATAATAGGTCAAGCAAATGACCCTATATGCAACCGAAATTAGTTTATCCAACATCCAATATTTTAGAAATTGGGAACAAAATTACAATAAAAGCACTCGTACTACTGCTGATAAATGTGTACATTGCAATCATTGTATTACTCTCTTTATTTAGATTTTCACAATATCTAGTGAAAAATATTTTGTTACACATATCACAGTACATCAAATGACTATCAATCTCTCTCATATTTCATATATTTCATATCTAATTCAAAACAAGTCACTGTAGAAAACCCATAGAAACCATATAAAATAAAATAACTCTTCTCTAACATTCTTTGTCTTTAGTATCTTTTTAACTGCACACGACAAATCTCATTTCTAGAGATAGCAGTTGTATAAAATGTTATCAACAGTTATACAATAAGCTCCATACTCTACTTTGTAAGACTTTCCAAACGGTTCCTTCTTGAACAAACTTAAAAGATTTTTGAAAAATCACAATCCGATTCTCTTAGTAACATTTATCAAACATATCCGGTCATGATTGTGACATAATCATCAATTTTATCAACATTAATGGACATCAGCACCTTCAAACTTAACATTACAATGCATTATACTAAAGACAATCAAACTCTGTCAAAAACTATCACTTTCAAAACTTACTACAACACAAAACATCAATGTTTCCTTGACCTAATTGAATTTAAATGTGATTTAGTATCTAAATACCAATTAAAATTATAAAAAAGGTATAACAAAGTTAAACTAATAACTTACCACTGCATTGAAATCAAATTACAAGCATTACAAAATGTTCAAGTAGAATGGAAACAATTATCTTTAGAGAATATTTGAATATAAATTTATATATCTTTCATTATTAATCAATTTCTTCATAAATGAAATATAAATTTTGATGATAGAATTTGTGTATAGTGCTTTACAGTACCTGGAATCATAGCGATTAATATTATTAGAAGCACGCATATACAATGTAAATGGAACAATATATCCCAATGCATATTGGTATATATATATATATATTACTTTGCAAAATATATAAACAAGACATTTCTATAATGTTGCACAAGAAAAATAATCAGAGTACCATATATATATATATATATATATATATATATATATATATATATATATATATACTATAGTTTATGTGCTATCCTTGAAAGCTTTTTGTGTTCTCGTTTCAGTTTCACATGCAGCATTCTGACAATTTGCTATCTAAAATAAAATAACTTGGCCCTGTTCTTACAAACTAGATCTTAAATGTTCTTCATTCTCTTTGTTATATCTGTATGGACTGGTATGTCCAGAATTCAGAAATGCATTTCTATCAAAATAAATCTTAGGATAGTCCAAGTGATTGCAGGAGGCTTTCCAGATATAGCAATAAGTAATGAAGTGTTAACTGTGAAAGTGAACATCCACACATTGAGAAACTGGTTATTTCTTGACGGTGACGCCTGCTCCCGCCCCCCCCCCCCACTCAGTGTTATTTGGGGTACCGGTTCCCTCCTTTTGAAAACACCCCCTAAGTCCGGTATGTACTACGAGTCGGACTTTGGTGCGTGTAAAGTACCCCTTTACCGGACATTTTGGGAACGCGCATGGTATCCCTCCGTTTACGTAGTGGGGGGGGGGGGGGCGGGCGCCTGCTCAATTTTTTCTAATCATTATTTCTTTTTTTAAAATTTCATTGTGTTATCAAGCTATACAGTAGTTTTGGTCTAGTGGATAAGTCACTGGAATGTAGACCACAAGGTACAGGGTTCAAATCCCAGCCGGTCACTTACTTCCTTCGGCAAGACATTAAACTATATCGTCCCTATTTTCACGAAGTGACGGTAGTGAGGAAAATCGTCATGCAAACTGAATGCGATTTTTTTTTCTCACTACCGTCACTTTGTGAAGACAGCGACGTTATGTGTCCTTCTCCACCCAGGTGCAAATGGGCACCTGATATGCCTGAGCGCAAGTAATTTTGGCAGCTATGGGTAATAACCCCGGTTCCATGAGCATCACTGCATTACAGATATGAGTGATATACAAGTGACCTAGATTGACCTGTGCATGATGAACAATAATTTACCAAGACAAAAGTGAGGATGGCTGTTCTAAAAACAATACGAATTACATTGTACGTACATTAATCAACAACCCTGAGAAAAGGTCCAACACAATGTATATACATTGGATGGAATTGAAAACTTCCAGAGAAATTCAAGATCCAACCAGTAAACCAGATCGAACACAGTGCCAGTTACATTTACGACTATACAAAATGACATTACACTTGATACTCTGTGGAGTAACATTTCCAAAACTTTCTACTGAAGGAATACGGAAAGAAATAGTTCTCAGAAAATATACCCCTTTTAATGGCTTTTCTTCACACATTGAATAATTATTTGAGAATGACAAATCCAAACTTACAGTACTTTGTGGAATATCCTATCAAAGTACTGCACTCCAACTAAAGTACAATGTACATCACATTACATTTCAGACACAAACATTTTTTTAAAAGGGAAAAGATGATAGATTATTAATATTCAATGCAAAGGCACTTCATTGGATTTGCTTCTAATTTGGACATTAAATGTATTTCATTCCAAAATATATACTATATTCAATATCCTTAAATTCCTTAAATATATATAAGATGCCACTGCAAAAATAGTGACAATATCCATCTTCACAAGGCTATTCTTATCACTATTCCTCTATCTTAAAATAAAGAAGAAAATAAGCAAAACCCTCAAAACTTTAGAATTTGTATGTACCGGTACATGCATAGTTCAAAAGTCTAAACATACCCCATGAATGTTTGAAATATTCTCATAAATCAATATTTTTCAAAAATATCTCTACCAAGTACAATAACCCATATATCTACGAGGTACTAATAATGAAAATTACACAAATCTGATCAACCTTACAACTTTAAAGCATCTTTGCATATACATCTTGAATTGAACAGATGTCCCTTGGATATATCGTAATAAAGATAGGCATTTCTCATGAATAATGTTTGCATAGTAACACCTCAATTTACACGTCACATCACAGTTAAGTTCAAGGTTATTCAAGGTCAAATAAAGATGCAATGAGTATTACTCTCAAAAGAGGAATGTGGTTTGATAGTGTATATCATATATTATCTACTAACAAGCTATACTAAAATCAAGGTTTCGAAGAGGCGAGATGAATGTAATATCCTGATCGATTAATATTTGCAAGAACACTTAATTGTCTTCAGCCCACTGCATACATTGATACAGTCCAGAATCTGGGCAATGAATATCAACTATATTCTGGACAAAAATTGGTAGTTATTTCGAAACAAAAAGCAATTGCATACAATAGTGGTACATGGAAAAATTAAAGAATGTGACATCATCTTCTTGACTGAGATCCCCAAATGGGTCATGTGAAAAGTAAACATTTAAAATGCTGGATATTGTATTTCACCAGTTAGGGAAAAAGCCAATAAGGCCAAATGCCCAATGATTTCTATTTAAATACAAGAGCAGTCAAACAGGCCTACAAGACACTGTCAACTTTCAATTTCTCCTCACTTCAGTAAATTGTCAAGAAAAAGAAACGTATCGTCTGTTTGGAGTGCAAAGAGTGTTAACTTTTAATACCTTAAAGCCCCACTGTACTACTTGTATCTACTTGCTCCCTCTATATAGAAAACTTCCCCAATTGGTGCCTGTTGATCCCCATGATCCTCTTTTTCTTATGTTAATTGAGAGTTGATGAGTTAGCCACCTGTCAGTGACCTCGCTGGGTGGTCTAATCCCTTCCGGCCCAACAAGTACAGACAGGCTTTAACACATACACATAAATAATGCCCTACTGGCTTTGAACAAGCGATATAACGGTGAGACCATGGGAAAGAGAAGATGATGAAGAAGAAGACCTAGATCAAGAGAACTTTGATCTGTTTCACAAACGCTGACCACGTAGAGATTTAGTCGCCGACTACCGTTAATGAAGTCCATTCGTTTACGGGCAGTTGTCCAAAAGGAGATGTAGATGGCATTCCCATGTATTTGTCAGTTTACACCACCTTTCAGGCAACTCTTTATGATCTGAACCCTCTTCCATTGCACATTTGAAGTCTAATATTTCATGCTTTTTTTTTCAGTTTGCTTGCATTGCATAGTACTGCTGACGAATGAGCTAAAGTTGTCCACTGCAGTCATCATTTGGGGCCACCTTCGTGAGATTTGTTTCTTTCATGCCAGGTTTGAAGGCTTGCCAAAACTCATGCATAATGGCTGCAGACGTGACTCTCACACTAATTGATTTTCCATAGTTTATGATTTGTATGCATATATCTAATTTGGTTTGGACTAAAAAGAAAATAACATCTTTATGGTTATTAATAGTTTTATACTATTTGTTACTATTACGTGTGCATACATGTTCATGTCGCAATAAAATCTCTTTGCTCTTTGGAAACTAATACCCTGATGTTTGTTTGCTCATGTATATTAAAGGTACTATGTCCCATTTGCAGACTAAAAAAATGAAAAGGTTAAATTCCAATGGCATTTGAAAGATAATACTAATTTAGAACTTCCTACGAAACAAAACGAAAGGGCTGGAAAATGTTTTTTTTGTGGGAAAATAACGACGATTAATTGACGAATCAACGTCATTCACTCACTCAATAGTGTCTGACAGTGAAGTCTAGAAAGTAAACGGTTTCCTGCATAATTGAAAATTAGGATGTTAATTGCTAACATTTAAATTTCACAGATAGGACATACATGATTCCTGCAATGTTCTACAGAATTTGATGTTGGCTACAAAAGGGACATAGTACTATCTTTAATGTATGCAGACCTGTCTCAATAAGCTTTGGACATGCAATAACTTGCAATATATAAAGTAGGCTATTTGGGCTTGGCTGAAAAGTAATCACATGACACTCAGTTACGTGTTCTATGGTTCTAAACACAGGTGTGTGCAATATAGCAACCTTTATGGCACAAATGTATCAGGCATCATCCTGCATATCCGTGTCTCTCTGCACGTATCTTCTGTTTGCGTGCGTTGCGTTGGCTGCATGCTCTTAACACTGGAGGCAACCTGAATCGTAATTGAGATAGACGACTCCAGAAAAAGGACAGCATGGATTGCATATATTTATATGAAATATATTGTATGCATTTTTATTCTATAAAACTAAATTTACCTCCACGTCAAGAATTTCCCTTGTATTAGTATTTCAACCTCAGCCTACAGGACACCACTCAGGAGAGCCTGAAATTATCAGTTCTTATATGAAATTAAATAGCACTGTGAAGCATGATAATTTTGCTAAATGTGTGTTTTTACTAGCTTAAACATGTATACATGCTCAAGACGGCATTGCCTATATGAATACATACATTTACAAAGGAATGTTCAATAGGTCACTATTTCGTTCCAATCATGTTTCAGGCAAAACCATCTCTTAATAGTATTATTTTCTTTGTTACAGATGACCTGGCATTTGGTAGAAAAAATAGAATCTGTAACAAATTCATGATTTGAACAATGATTTCCGACCATTTTAAATGGTTCTCATCCATCATGTGGCCTGGAACATTGTTAGAAAATACAACCAATGAGTGTATTATGAGCATGACTTATATGTAATACCTGATATAACTCAAAACAAAATGCTTAGAGTGCAATACACTATTGAATTCTTTTCCTCTGGCAAGGTCTTAGAGTACCTACCAGCCCTGCTACGTTGGGCAAGCCACGTAACCATCGCAGGGTGATTCATAGTACGGGGTGAAGAGATAGTAGACATTGACAAGAGGAAACATGATGCATGCACCGACCAGTGAACCGAATTGCGTCGCGGCTCCGAAGATGATGAGAAGCTTTCGGTTGTCAGGTTCGTTGCGGAGGATCCAGCCTATGGTCGCCTTGGTGTAGGTGAAGAGACCCATGACAAGTACCCAGGCAAGCACCTGTCGTTGGTTGCAGCACAGGAAAGAGGAATGTGGGGAGACACACAGAGGTGAGATGGAAAGAGAACAGTAGGTTGGGAGAAGAAAAAGACAAAGAGAATGATGGGAAGAAAATTGAGAAATTAAATTAGAAACTTGGAGCATCTCAGGAGGACAAAAAAGGATTGCATATAATATACAAAGTATTAATCTGCTTCAAAATTAAAAAAAAAATTAGAATGGTGTTCCAATGACAGATATTATCCTGCCATCTAAATGATACAGTATTACATAAAACAGTTTAGACACAGCTTTTTTTCTTTAACATGAGTTCCCTTTCCAATTTCTTTAGGAAATGGTTATATTTCCTTGGAATTGTTTTTTTATATTTCTCAAAATTCTAAAACTCTTTTTAAGCTTTCCAGAATGTAATGACTCTTTGCTGCAGTATGTTTATTTCCACTGAATACAGAATTGTTAAGGAATTTAGTTGAGGTCTTACCACAACGACGGTTCCAGCCACTTCATCCTGCAATGGGGGTGTAGGACTGAGGGCAGCTGTGGCCAAGCAGTAGGAACTGATCAGGGTCCCACAGAATGCGGTTGCACCTACCAGGATCAGACTCTTCTGAGGGAACAGCATTACGACGAAACAAGCTACGGGATTGGCTACGTTTCCAAGGGTCGCTGCTAGAAGATAAGCATTGTAGCTATATGGTGCGCAGGAGTAACTCTGTATGGATGGAAGGATGCCATTGCTGAGAGCGTTCACGAAGCCAAGTAGGATAAAAATGTACCAATAAGCTGCTTTAGACTTTCTTTCTTTTGGAATCATCGGGTCGTTGATTGTTTCACCGGGAACATCCAGTGCATTCTCAGAGTCGCCTTCTTCCCGTTTGGCATACTTCTCACTGGTGCTCATGGACATGCTGTCAGATGAACAGATGGATTTAACGGAGTCGGAAGGTTCCGATTGGCCACGAGCCTCTGGTGCATACTCTTGCTTGGCGATTGGAAGCGTGTTGAGGAGGAAGAAAGAGATGAGAGACACCGTCATCATAGCAAAGAGGAACCAGAAGAAGTCATCTGGAGGGAAGTGAGCAGGGATGGTCTGGCCGACCCATGAAGTACAGTTCTGTCCTGTGGTGGTATTCACATAGGTGTTATTTGCAACACACTCGTCATTCCCAACTCCCTGACCCAACGCGACCAGACTGGGCAAGAGGGCACTGAATCCTTCTCCCACAAAGTACCAAGTTAGGTATCCGCTTTTCAGTCTCGACATGAAGGGAGTGAAGGCCACGGATGAGGTGCAGTCTACGATGGCTATGAAGAAGGACAGACAAAGCAAAGGGGTGCTTCGTAAGACCCCTCCGACGTAAGATGTCACATCCCAGAAGAACACGAGCAGCAGGCATGCTACTATACCAATAGGAAGTATGATGTAGATGGCCGGTGCTTCAAGGCGTCGACCTTTCATGAAGTAGCTCAAGGTTGTGAAGATGATGGGTCCAATATTGGCAATCTGGATGATGATGACCAGGTAGGAGGCCAGATTGTAGCCCTCTGGAATCCCTAGGGAGACCAAGAGGGGCAGCTCCACCCACAGACCATTGATGGCCACCCATGATCCTGTCCCAAACAGGACAACCAGTAGGACCACTGGAAACTTCCGAAGATTCTTTTGAAATTCCATTTTGTCTTCACAGTTCACCTCTTCTTGAAATGCTTTTTCTTTGAATGTTTTTTTTCTTTTATTTTGTATCTTAATATCCTTGGTCAGTGATTCAACATTTATTTACGAGGTAACAGCTATTTATCCAAGTACTCAAACTGACCTTTAAGAAACCCAAAGTAAGCTGAAAAGTATTCTCCTAGCTCCTGAACAATTTCCTCTCAGATCTTTAGTTTCTCAGAACGGTTGACATAGATTTGATTGCCCTCAGACAAACAATCAGACAAACTTTGGGTCGTGCACACCGAGGTTAATAGAATGCAACTTCCACATCAAATAAAACAAGCCCTCTCCGGAAGCTCATCAAACACTTGAGTGCACCAACGCTGTCGTGATTAAAATGTGCTGGTACCATGAAGCTTCTTGATCATGTTGCCTTCCACCACATGTAGGAAAGAGTCCTTATCAGGGAAGACACAGCACTGAATGATACTGGTGGCTCTATATTTGCTGAATCAGGAAAAACCTGCAGAAAATAGAAAAGTAAATAAGGTGTCTCATTGTTAGAAAGAAGGTCATGGTACTATGCAGTTACATCTCTTATTCAATGGCCTTATATCACAATGGGAGATCTACATGTCAAGAACACAACCTGACGGTGGCGTGGGCTACTCTCAAAAGGATATATAGACAGACTGAACTTGAGGGACTCTAATTCAATAAAAAAAAATGTTTTAAAGAGTATTAAGGTCACGTTACTGGCATCAACAGGTGCCGCCCACTGATCTGATGTAAGTTTTTGACTCTAGGTCAAGGCACTACTTCCTGAATTTTGGACTCTTTCGAATCACATGGCAGAAAACACAATGTATTCCCCACAGTGTTTACATATTAATGATTTAATAGCTTTATCTGCCTGTTATCATGTTATCAGTCTATATGTTCAATACACTATTTATTTAAGTAGGGTATATGTGGGAAGGGGGATATGACGACCGATTCAAAACAGAAATACAAATCAGGGCTCCCCACTTCCTTATTTGGAAGGGGTCCAGAAAAATTGTGAAGATGGGGGGGGGGGGGGGTAAGGAGTATGGACTTATGAATTTGGGAACCCATGTGTCCTGTGCACATGTTGATGTCATTCCCTGACAAAGGAAATTGGTAAGGTTTTTTTTACACTTTATAAAGTATCACAAACAAAACAATTTTTAGAAAATGTTTCAGGCAGCAAACAGGTATGCAACCATCATACTGCTTTATTTAGTCACGTCATATCATGATCATGGATGTGATAGCGACTAAGAATTAACAAAGCTGGGCTTCTTATGCAAAATAGTATATTATGACACTACTTAGAGAGCTGGATACACTACCGGTACTCGGTACTTCCTTCAAATTCATATGCAATTGTATGTTCTCACACTACATGCATACACTTAATTGGGGAACTGGAAAGTATCAAAAATAAATGTTATGTTTAATACATGTAATTCTAAATTGATTCATATAAATTCCTGTTACAAGTGACATTAACACTATTTTTGTTTTTTAATAGAAAGAAAAAAATAATGTGACAGAAAAAAAAAATGAAAAAGTAAAGAAACACAACAACAACAAATAATCATTCAATTTCTATAGCACAGCTACTAACTCTATTGCGCTTAATACATATTATTACCCCGGCTGTACATGTAGCTGAGCTGCCATAATGTCGCACAAAATCATTCTAGGAAGTTCTTACTACCAGGTACTCATTTACTTCACCTGGGTGAAGAGTGACAAATGTAGATTAATATCTGGCCAAAATACATTGGTGCCACGGCGGGACTCGAACTGTGAATCATGTGGTCCACAGTCCGGTGGCGTATCCACTAGATCACGTCACCTCTACATAATGCAACCTTGTATTAATTTGTTTTCCTGTGAATTCAAATTTCTTCTTGACAATTTGAGCAATACTTTGCACATGTATGGCAGATATGGTGCACTCTATGTGCTGTAAATATGAAAGGTAGCGTGATTATAGGTGAAGATCAAGTGGATAGCTATCACTCCAAAGTCCGGACTTAATTCTCTTTTGCACGCAATAAAATGGTAAGTGCCTTCTAGATCAAAGAGACACGCTTCATAGACGATCCTTAATAGCAAAATATGACAATAAATGGTCTCCTTCACAATTTTGTTTGCATTTGTTGTTGTCATTGTTGTTCAGGTCAAATCACCTCTTGCACACAGTGATGGTTGTGATTTTAGGGGTCAAAAGTGTTCAAACCTTCAGGAATTTATTTAATACTGGTCCTCTCAGCACCAAATGCTTCCATGAAATTAAATATGTGCGTCCACCCACCATGCAAGCAAAAATAGTTCAGGTTAGAATGAAGCACCACTCGATGAAATGACCGGAAGTTTTAACAGGATCACCTCACGATTCCGTACACTGATGCTGATGCTGAATACATAGTGCCTTTTAATTGGTCACTTTAACTTTTTTTCAGCAAAAATTATATTGGTCAAGGGGTCAAGGACTTCTTAGCATTGGCAATTACTACAAACACAAATCAAGAAACCAAGAAATATATAGCCAACTTTGAAATCATTGATGTCATATGCTCAATAGAGCTTACTATTTTGATCATCAAACCGATTAAAACTTACAAGCAGATACAGCTTTAATAATAAAACCATAGCCTAAAATACAAACCAAGAGAGTATATCCCAAATTACCATATCTTCTAGAAGCCAAACTCAACATCCTGCATTTCTGCATCAGTTCAGTTAACTTGCATCATTTTACATGTGAAGCAAGATAATAATGGCAATTGTGTCTACATGTATCTGTGTTCATTATATGTCTATTTAAAGAAAATAAGAACATCAGGTTATCATTTAGAAGACTTTTGCCAAGAGAGATGATTGGTATCGATTGCACTATAGCTATGTGTTATGCAATACAACCAATGCAAATGCATGGCTGCCATTAGACAGCGCACTCTCCAAAAAAGACATATCATGCCAAAACAAACTCTTATTTTCTTTTCTATGTTTTCTCAAAAGAATGCTTCACAGGGTATATATATACATGTACAATAACAATGCACATGAAGACAACTCTGATCACTCAGCAATGTTAAATGAAACTATGAGACAAAAGGTACAAAAATCAAGAAGTTGCTTACATGAAAACTGGATGATATGATCTTCGTGTAGTTCCTCTAAACCTTCCAAATCCAACCATGCATTATTCCACTCCAGCAGATAATCAAACACAATATCCTAGGCTATATGCTCTTTCACTGCAACGTACAGTCAAATGCTGGTACATGTACATGTACATGTAGAAAGAGAAATATTGACCCAATTTGATGCTTACAAATATATGCATCAGATTTCAATGGTAGAACACAATCAAACATGAGGATGACCACGTTTATTTCGCAGTAAATGCCGCACTGGAATGGGAGCATCCCATTCAGAATACACACAAATAGCATGGTCCAGTGCCTCTAAATACTACACTGAGGCTCCACCCCCAAGCTACAAACAAAGGTGATGCAACACACTAGTGCTTTCATAAGCCAAGCAAGACAGTTATAACCCAACCAGACACACTTTATCAATGCTAATTGCTCCTGATAACTGCTACATTCTGGGTCAGGAGGAAATACATTCCATTAAAGAGTTCATACAGTTTGCAGAATTAATCAGGAGTATTGAATAATCAAATATAGCGTTTGCATAATTCACTCAGTGCTCAGTCTCCATTCTCTTTCTCTTCCCCATTCTCTTTCTCTCTTTCTCTCTCTCTCTCTCTCTCTCTCTCTCTCTCTCTCTCTCTCTCGCAACATACACTACACAACAGCAGTGCATAATAAGGCTTTGTATCATAGAATTATCGATTCACTAAATTTTCTGGCATATTACATGTAGATATTGATCATACAAATGTGGGCTAAAATGCCACATGGGTACACATTGGTACATCTCTTTTTCTGATATGCTATACATACACATGTAGGTACTTTTTCTACAAGCTTTTGCTCAATAATACTGTCAATGCAAGACAGACACAGTCACAGGGTTTATTAAAAGAGTTATCAAATTATATCATGTGATTGACACAGGCCAACAAAAATTGTCATCTATCAATTTTTAGCAATAGACCGGTTTACTAAAATACCTTTTAAGAAAAATGTATGCATACTATTTTAATAAAGAAAGGTTATTCTTGACAACCTAATAGCCTGTCTGGGGATTGCCTGACATAGCAACACCGAATATAAATTTAATTAAATTTCAGGTGATTTTAAATCGACACAAAGAAATGAATAGGCTCTATATATCATTCCAGACATTTAAGTGTTGATTTTTTTTTTTAAAGCCCTTCTTATGTCTTTTTTTCATGGCAAAAACGGTTGTGAAAATTCAAAAATGGTAGGGAGAATTTACTTTGTGTTGCAGTCACTGCAGTGACACCTTCAAAGAAGACCATAAATATCTCTGTGGTTTGAGAATTTGTTGCATGTTAGAGGGCTACGTGCAGTACAGTAGAAGGAATATATACAAATGTAATAAGTAACATTTCATACAAAAATTATGCAGTTTTTTCATCAATCTTCAACAATGTTACCGGTTCACTTTAAAGTCTTCTCTAAGCCGAGGGGATGGTTTTGAACATGTTACCACCCATGTATGAGAGAGACCACTTCTCTACCACTGAGCCAGTATGCCTATTAACAACAGTGTGTACATTTTATATATTCTGGAGCATACTAGCCGATTGCCATAAAAAAAATTTTTCCTTAAGAAAAAAGATAAAACTATGCCGAAGAGCTTTTGAAATTGAAAGAGATGGTAAAAATTTAATGTTACGTTTAATATCTCCTGTGGACTGTAAAAGCTTAGACAGAGACCGATAAAAAAATTGACACAATACATTCATGACCGTCTGTGTAACTTCTTGGTCTGTGTGAGTACAGTATTCCAGATTGATGGTTCCTGTCTTTTGTTCAGTTTTCCTGAATAAAATTACCAAACGATTTATGACCTGTGGCACACAAACCCTTTTGATCCATGAAAAACAGCACAAAATAGCTTTTTATGGCAGACTGGCTCAAAGTTGGAATACTCTCTTGTGAAAAGTCATAAATCACTTTACATTTCCCAGATTTAAGCAAAGTTTTGAGTACTAGTACTAGTTGTTGTTTACATTTTTGATAGAACACTTTTTTTTTTCTGTTGCTTTTTGGTCTGCAAAAGTTTATGATGGGAGAGGTTGTTGACTGCATGTTTTCTTCAAAATGCACCATTATATATGACTGCATTAATTCTTCTATAGTCACCTCAATGTTCCTCATAATCTGATATCCCTCAATTTTAACGTTCATAACTACCGGTATGTAGATATACATCAAAGTACTTTAAAGATACTATGTCTCTTTTGCAGCTAACATCAAACTCTGTAGAACTTTGCAGGAATTGTGTATAATATGTCCTATCTGTGCAATTAAACGTTAGCAGTGTCCTAGTATTCAAATTATGCAAGAAAACCGTTTTCTTTTTAGACTTCCCTGTCAGACACTATTGAGTAACTGACTGACATCTTTTTTTCATTGGTAATAATAATATACATAAAATGGACTGTAACAGGTACATGAGCATTTTTCTACATTCATAACCCATTACTTGTTAGTTGTAATGGCCAAAATTAAACTGATTGAATCTTTGTGCAGCACAAAATGTACAACCATTCGGTACAAGGGTCTGAAAATCAGACTATTACTTAGGTGATTGCAATCACTTATGTCGATTTGACAACTAATGGTCGTTATTTTCTCACAAAAAGCCATTTTCAAACCCTTTCGTTTAGAGGTTAGTTCTAAATAAGTATTTTGGACCTGCAAATGGGACATACTGTAGTCCCTGTAACAGGATACATGTCATGACACTACACCAGCCAAATATTATTTTATTTCAATATTCTGAAGCCAATATGTACATACTGTACTAAAAACATTAAGAAATAATGGTAAAGCATTCATAAAATGCCTTTATTGTGTGTGCAAGTAAATAATCATATGCATGTAGGCAAATATATAAAAATTGTAAAATGTGTGATTCGTTTTATGTTCCATGTGCATTGTAATCGTAAAATTATTGAACCTTGTAACAAAGCCAATGGAAACAGGATTTCAGTGTATTACCATGGGTCAATAAAGATGAAATGAAATGAATGTGTACTGCAAAATTGCAGTCATAATTAAATTCAAGGAAATGATGCCCTGAAAAAATACTTCATTGAAGTACCGTAATTAATGTAAAATAAGTTTTAAAAAAGAAAGAACAACCATTATTATCCTTATGATCGTATTCAGTAGTATCATTATCACGATGAGAATCGCTATTATAACAATTACTACGCTTCCTGTCATTATTCTTATTATCAATATCATAATCATCATTATCATCATTATGACTACTACTACTACTACAACTACATCTACTACTAACTGCTACTACCAAAACCACCACCAGCACCACCGCCACCACTACTACTACCTAGTGCTACAATAGAAGAAGAAGAAACAGCCGTTTTCAAAGAGTACCTTTCCAGTACTTACTAAACAAGTAACTGAGCAAACAGTTTACATACATTAATCGCTGGATTCAACTACAATTAGAGACTGCCTTTGCAGTGAAGTGAATACTTCACTGGAGAGTACATTCCAGCCAGTTGCTATTTTACAACGCACCTACATGTATGCTAATCCAACCACATTTACCTCCACAGCATACCAGGAGCTTGTTTTACAACCTGTGTGTGGAGAGGCAATGTAGATAAGATACCTTGAACTAAAGGATTGGGTATCTTTGTCTCAGATTCTGAATAAAAATCCTTGATTTCGCTCATGCTACAATGATGATTATAAACCTTTAGGTCAGTCAGGAACCCCATGACTTTTACAAGCCGATCCCCTCTCTGATTATCATGATATTTATGATTGGAAATCAAAATTTCAAAATTTGTTTTTCCTAACGTTTTTTATAACACTACAGTCTATTGGGGAAAATGTACATAGTAAAACCTGCCACTCAAAGATTTTTGCCTTTTGAGGCACTTCATGATCATTTTGAGGAGCAAATTTTTTAGGGCTTCAATATTACACCATATCACAGACACTGATAACACAAAGGGCCATGCATCTCAGATTTATCATCGTTAAACGATGCCTTTAAGGGCATAGCATGACTATGACCTCCACATCCCCAGACTAACCACTGAACAGAACAGCACTGCAACTCTTCTACACACTGCACACAATCTATGCAGCAATAAATTAACTAATACCTAACTAACTTGAAAGAAAACACACACCATAAATACTGAATACCAATTAAAGGATTTGCACAGTTAACAAAGTACATAGTTCAAAGTATATTCAAACAGTGACAGAATTATAAAGTATATGCAGGAAACTTTTAATTATCTCTGCTCTTAAAGTCTGTTTTAATAAAGCTCTTTCTGCTATCAACTCATTAACTTTTGCAAATTGCACTCCTGAAACATCACCTGAATCGTAGCTAAAGAGGACAAAATAAATGAGTTTGAGCTTCACATCTCTAGTGGTTCTTGAGATATGGCAATAACAAGGCTAATATCTAGGGGTCATTCCATGTCAAATCACCCAAAAAATCTGAAAATCTTAACCCGACCATTTTTGATTTTGATGAAACTTGGTGAACTTGTTGAGTGTGATCTCACAGCACCAAATCCCAAATTTTAGGTCAATCGGGTGAGGGGTTTGGGAGATACGGCCCACCAAATTTTGAGATTTTTTCAAAAATGGGGGTGGCGGGCCTACCTTTGAACCCTTGTATCTCGGGACCTAATGGGTCAATCTTCTCAAAATTTGTATTGTTGGAAAGGGTATTCAATAAGGATTCCAAATCTGCCGCCATTTTGAAGATTCGTACATGTTGGGGTACTTTGACCTCTTGACCTCAGATTTGACCTTGAAATTGACCTTGTGGATCACGGAACTTTGACAACATTTTTCATGAAATGTAATCTCTGACATGTTCACTAAAACATATAAAAGTTTCAGAGATATAATATTTTTTGTTTTGGAGCAATAAGGATTGAAAGTATCCATGCTCACAGATATTCACAACAAGCCCTATTATAATGTATACAATACATGCAATATGCACAGTACAACATACATCTTCCACATGCTTTTTTGTTTTAGTCATATCCATCCTAAATGTCAGCAGTACTTGAATAGAAATAAAATGACAAGTTCATATAGGCCTAAAGGGTTAACAGGATGTATGGCTTTAGACCTCCGAGTCAGTTCTAGGAAAATTCCCCCCCCCCGGAAAACTACCCTCTAAGGACAATTACCCCAGAGGACAATTACCCCCCCCCCCCTATTTGTTAAAGGGGAAGTCCATCCTGATAATAAAGTGGTTTTAATCAAAGCAGATTTTTTTTTGGGGGGGGGTATAATATTCTTGAGGGGTAATTTTCCCGG